TTTTTTTTTTTTTCTTTATGGAGAGGGAACCTTGCTATGTTGCCCAGGCTGGTCTCGAACTCCTAGGTTCAAGCAATCCTTCCACCTTGGCCTCCCAACGTGCTGAGATGACAGGTGTGAGACACGGTGCCCAGCGACCAGCGAGCCTGGTACTGACTTTGGCCAACTCGGAGGCAGCTCTCTGCCTCCCCCTAGCGGCAGTGCTCTGCCGGTGCACCTCAGGTCCTCCCGCGTGACCACGGGTCAGGTGAGCTCCCTGCTTTCCAAATGTCCTCACCCAACGCCCAGGGCCATCCCCTGGGACTGTGCTATTATCCTGCTTTACAGATGAGGAAATTGAGGCTTAAAGAGGTCAGGTGGCTTAGCCAGGTTCACCCATTAATTGAGCCAGGGCTGTGTGATTCCTGGTCTGTGTCAAACCACCAGGAGCTGCCTCCCCTCGGGACCGGGAGGGCCTGCAGAGCTGAAGCTATCCAGCCTGGTCACTTTTCAGACAGGGAGACGGTTGCCCAGAGGGGAGAAGGGGCTTTCTGGGTCACTTTGCCAGGAGTTACTCAATACCGTGGCCAGCTTGGCTTCAGATACTTTGCCAGGAGTTAATGCCGTGGCCAACGTGGCATTGGATATTGGAACTGTTCCCAGCTCCACCCAGGCCCTTTTCTCTTCCCTGCCCACAGTCCCCAGGCCACCAAGTCCGTGCCTGTCACTGGAATCACCACTCAATGCTCAGGAGTCTTGCCTGCCTGGCATGTGAACTCCACGCACTGGGGCTTTGCCCTTGAGCACTCTCTGGGTCCAGCTCCTCTTTCTCCCAGGGCACCTGAGGTTGCCTCCCCGTCTTGGCTCTCCCTAGGCCCTAGCCCTAACTCTCACCTGCAGAGCCTTTGGGGCCCAAACTGGTGCATCCCTCCTGGCTGAACAGCCTCTGGAAGCTTCCCATACTTCCAGACATCACCCGCAAGTCCCTTAGCAGGCCCATAGAGCCCACACCAGCCCACAACCACCAACCCCTCGCCCCGTGGAAGCCTCGTGCAGACTGCACTTCAGCCAGAAATGCTCCTTCTCCTCCTGCCTGTCCCCAGTAGGCACTGCACGGTGCCCTCTGCATGGGCACATCTGTGGCCGGCCAGCATCCACGCTCCCCTGGGCAGAGGCTGGGCCTGCCTGTCTCACGGCCACAGCCCAACTCCCAGCAGTGCCTGGGGTGCAGCAGGGGCTCAGCAGACATCTGTTCATGGTTTGGGGACGGAGGACTCGTGGGTTTACCGGGGCCCCCTCTGCAGCTCAAGGACACTCATCAGTTCCTCCTGTAGCTCTGGGGACCCACAGTCCCAGGTTGGTGTGACGCTGACGTCAGCCTCGGGCTTTTACCACCTTCTATGTTAAGTACTTGGCTTCATGATTCCAGAGAAATGTTCTCTGAGACCTGCTGTGTACCCAACATGCTTGAAGATTCTGGAGATGAGGCACATGACACTCCTGTAGTAACGAGGCTGCCGCAGTGCCACCAATGTGTCCCATGCCAGGGGGGAGGCCTGGTGTGGAGGGCATGCTTGCCACCCTGAGGTCAGGTCCAGGAAGCCCTTGCAGGAGGCCGGGGACAGGCAAGGCTATCACCTCCTTTTCTGGGGAGGAGGCAGAGGCTTGGAGAGCTTGCCCACGGCTGTACGCCTGTTTCCGGCTTCTGAAAGCTTGCAGTACAGCTGGACACACAGCATTGGTTCCATCGCTGGAACCATCTTACCTGTGATCTGCTCGCCAGGTGGACGTCCACAGGCAGATGCCTTTGCCTGTGCTGGGAGAGGCACTGTGGGACCCATCCACCAGCAGCCCAGAGCAGGGGCACATCTGCCAGGGCAGGGATGCACCTTCGGCCCCATGTCAGCCCTGGGAGGGCCGGGGAAGGAGGGCCCGGACGGCAGGCCCTGGGGAAGGAGGGCCCAGATGGCAGACCTCGGGAAGGGAGGCCCAGATGGCAGACCCAGGGAAGGCCTGGACAGTGGACAGCGCTGTCTTGCTCCACACCCATGGTGAGCACACATGAGGCTCAGATGTGAGAACATGGCAAGGGGTGGCATCATGGCGGGCATGTTTGCAGATCCTATGCTGTGTGCTTGGCAAGCCTTGCCCATGGAAGCGAGTGGGCCTGAGGCTCCCTCCATGCTGCCCACCATGGCCCTGGGGTGTGGCCTTACCCTCACGGGGTGACTTCCTCTCCTCCATGAGAAGGAGAGGAAGCCTGGCCCACCCTCTGGCCAGCCTGGTGGCATGTTAACAGACACCCCTTATTGCAGGGACCTGCTGAACAAATGCCACAGAACGAAAGCTATGACCCTGCCTCCAGATGTGCTTCCGCTCCCATGATTCCATCCTCCTGACCGTTTCCTCCTCCTCCAGGAAGCACCCTGTGTTGGCTCTCTCCACCTCGGAGGCCTTCCTATGTTTTTTTGCCTGGACCACCCGGCCAACCCTGTCTCACAGAGGCTGCCCCTTCCTCTCTCCAGGCCAAGCCTCCAGCTTCAGTGTTCAAGACTAAGGGTCTGTTCAGGACTGAGTGTCCGGCGGGGGGGACACCTGCCCCTTATACTTCCATGAGCCCCCAGACAATAGCCACTGCTATTGTATACCAGATAGGAAAGAGGGTCAGAGACTCACGGGGAGGGGCTGTCCTGCGTTCGCTGAGACCACTGCTCCCCCAGGGGCTCCCCAGAGGACCGCTGCTTGTCAGCAAAGTGCCAGGTCCACTTGGCAGCCTCGGGCATGTCAGGGCCCTGTAGTAGGAGGCTGTACGCACGGGCTAGGGAGGCTGAGTGCCCGCCTGGAGACGAGCATGGTCCAGCGGAAATACAACAGCTTCACATTTCCTAGCAGCCATGTGGAAAACAAGAGAGACAGGTGAAATAGATTTTAATAGTATTTTATTTAATACCTCCAAGATAGTCAATTTAATGTGCAATAAAAAATGATTGATTAGATATTTGTACCCTTCACAAGCCAGCACGTAGTTTACACTTAGAGCGCAGCTCACGCTGACAGCACGCACCAGCAGCCACCGTGCTGGACAGCATGGCTAACGGGAGGAGCTGACCAGACAGAGGCACCAAGGACACGCTGTGAGCACGGCTGTGAAGACGCAAGGGCAGAGGGTTTCCTGGCACAGCCTGGACGCGCATGAGCCTGTCCGGTGTGCTCTGCATAATGCGGTACAGCAGTGGCCACGGAGTTTTGCACCAGGTGCTGATTCTGGCCCACCTAGGGGGGCTTCAGGGAGGTGGTGACTTTTGTGTCCAGCCTCCAAGTGTGAGCGGGGCAGAGACTGGGAGGATGGAGAAACCAGTGGATGCTGCAGCCAAAGGCAATGAACCTCCGCCAGGAATGGCAATGGCCACCACGGACGGGACCCTTCCCAGCACTGGCAGGAGGCCCGTGGCTCGCAGCTGTTCACCTGATGTCGCCATTTGCCCCCACCAGGCCTGATGTCCTGACACACGGATCAGCAGCACCCATCTCAGCCCTGAAGTGTTTAGGTGCTTATGCTGCTCTATCTTAGCCGCCAGGACCTGATGCTGAGAATAGGCACACAGCGTCTCGGGGCAGGCCGGGCCTTCGGCGGAACAGTCTAGAGCCCAGAGTTGGATGGGCTCAGGTGTAGGGTGCAGGAACCCTCTATTCCACATCAGGCCACAGACTGCTGAGAGCTGTGTCCATGCACTCCTAGGATTAGGGAGAGGAGGGGAAGAAAGACGGCCAATCCCTTGCAGGTGATATGGTGCTCCACACCCCTAGGAGCCACCATAAGCTGCTTTCTAACATCCCTGCCCTGGGGCTCCTGCCCTGGGGTCCAGAGACCTTCCATTTTATGCTTAGGGCAGGGTTGGCTTCTGCAGCTATGGCCTCCGAGGGTTAGAGCCCATCTGCGTGGGACCACAGGGTTCCGGAGGAACCTAGAGGGTCGAGTCCTGGGCTCTTGGCTCTTGGGTTCTTTGAACTCAACTTGCACCCACTTCTGTGTTCCCCTCTTTGGGAAGCGCTAATAATGACACCTTCTTAAGCGAAGGGTGCAGAGCGCCTGGACCACCGGAAAGACGGAGGCAGTGGGGCTGTCACTGCAGCCTCGCCCAGCGGTCTGGGGCTGCGCCCTACCACGTGTTCCCTAACTCTGTTCAAACAGGGCAGGAATCTGACTCCGGAAAGGCAAATGTTAGCTGAGCAGAGTGGCCCTGGTGCCACGTCAGCCGGGCCGAACCTCTCCCGGCACCGCCTGGGGCTCTGCTGGCGTGGCACAGGTACCAGTCTCCCGCCCCGCTGGGGACCGGGGTGGCTCCCAAAGGGAGGACCTCCGCCGCTGCTGGGAGCTCAGCCTCGGCGATGCCCTCGGGCGGGCACTCCCACCACGGCGCCTGCCCTCTGGAAGGAGCTGCAGAGGAATGCCGCGGCTCCTCCCGGCCCTCTCAAGGGAGGGGTGCAGGTGAGTGGGCCGCACATGGATGGCCGCTTCCTCACCCGCCCAGCCTCCCTGGGCTCCTCCGGAAACGCAGGGCACAGATGACAGCGCCCACCGTTCCCTGCGATCTTCCGCGGGGGCCGGGGGCGTGATGCCGCCTGGCCTGGCCGTCGCAGGGGCAGGGGCACCCACCCGCCTCGCCCCGCCGCTGGGTCGCTCCGGGCGCCCGAGCGCCCACTCACCACCAGCGTGCACTAGGCCAGGGCTGGGACCCCAGGGCCGCGCGGGGCTGGCGGCCAAGGAGACGAAGCCGGAAAACCGCGCTCCAGGGCAGGACTGCGGGGCCGGGGCCGGGGCCGGGGCCGGGGTGGGCGTGGGAGGGCCCGGCGCGGCGCGGGCGCGGGGCGGAGCTCGGGGACGCGGAGCCCGCGCGTCCTTCTGCGGGGGTCGGCGAAGGCCGGGCTCCGCGCGGTGGCCGGGCCGCCCTTCCCCGCCGGGGCCTCTGCGGAGCGAACGGCCTGCAGAGGACGCGCCGGGGGAACCCCAGGACGCGGGACGGGCACTGACGGTCGCTGTCGACCAACTTCCGGCGCCGCTCGGGGCCCGCGATCGCGCCGTAGCCAGGCAACCAGCGCGCAGGCGCAGTCGGCCCTCGGCGGCCCGCAGCTCCTACCGCCCTCGGCGCATGCGCCGCCGCCGCCGCCGCCTGCCCTCCAGCCTCCCGGCCCAACGGAAGAATGAGAGGAGCGCGCCCGCGTGAGGGCCCCGCGCTTCTGAGTGAGGCAGAGTAGCCGTTCTCGGTGCGTGAGACTGCTGGCATCGGTGCTGCAGACTGATTTCCCCCTTGTGGCCTTGACTGAAGAATCCCATCTCTTCTCACATCTTAAAACGAAAAAACACTGGGAGAAAGAGCCAGCGTAACCAAGGCGACGTCCCGGGGCGGCCCCGGCGCGTCCGGCTGGGCAGGTGGCGAGGGGCGGGGCCAAGCGCTGAGGCGGCGGACGGACGCCGGCGGGGGGCGGGGCCACGGGCCGGGAAGGACGGCCGAGGGGCGGGGCCGAGGGGGAGGGAACTACAGGATGCGGCGGGGAAAGACGGGCGGGGGACGCGGCCAAGGGGGCGGGACGAAAGAATGAGGCGGGGAAGAACGGACGCCGGCGAGGGCGGGGATAGAGGGGGCGGGACAGAGATGGGGCTGAGGCGGACGGACGCCGGCGAGGGCCCGGGACGAGGCATGGGCCGCGGAGGGCTGAATGAGAACGCGTCTGGGCCGCCGAGCCGAGGGGCGGGGCCGGGGGCGGGGCCGGGGGCGGGGCGCGCGCTGATGTCGCAAGACGGACACGTCGGCGGCGCGGCGGCCGCGGAGACCGGAGCCGGATGTGCCAAGATGGCTGCGGCGGTTGCCGTGTCTGCGCTCGTCATCAGCGCCGGGTGGGCTTTCGCCCGCGGCTCCTGAGGGGCCGGTCTCTGCCGCGCGGGTGAGGGGGCGAGCGCGGGAGGAGGAGGGCGGAGGCCGGCCGGCGGAGCCAGGCAGTGGAGGCCGGGGCGCGGCGGAGGGGAGGCGGCGAGGCCCAGCCCCGAGCGGGCGGCGCAGCTCGGGTCTCGCCGGGGCCGGGCGAGGGGACAGACGCTGGGGTCCGCGGGCCGGAGCGGGAGGCCGGGCGCGGCGCGGGCCGCCGTGGGACTCGCAGGGCTGACGTGGACCCGGCTGGGCTGCGGTGACGCCGGTACCCGCGGCGGGAGGCTTACCCCAGGCACCGCTCGTAAAACCCCAGGTTTTCAAATGAACGTGCCTTGTCCTCGCCGGCTCGAAGGCTTCCTTGGCGATGCTGGTGAAGAGACATTTACGTTTGAACCAAGGAGCAGAGTTGTTTGCTTGTGGCTTCTTGATGGGGCGATCAGGGTGTTGCAACGGAGGCCGAGGGTTAGAGTGCGTGTGATCCGGCTCGCCCCTTTGTGATGGAAGTGTCACAGCAGAGCCTTCAGAAGCAGCAGAGCCACTTAAAGTCGGCTTTCGCTGCTTCGCTTAGGAACACTTTTAAGTGGCTTGTAGGCTGGGTGTGGGCTGTATATTAAGATTGCGTTTTACGTGTATGATGCCGATGTTAACCAAAGAGGTATTTCCCATCCCCCATGTGACAGTACGAAGCAAACAGAACCGCAGACAGTTCTTCCCAGAGTGATACTTTTGCAAGTTTCAGCACAAAGCAGCCTCCCTGCATTTTCCCCGTCTCCTTTTTCCGGTGCTGGTATCTGGCAGAAAAGAGGCAAAGTAGCGTTTCTTTCTTGTTCCCTGTTCCTCGTTTACTCTTAATAGTGGTTACTACAGTGAGTCTCAAAATTGTACTGAAAGTTTTCTTTGAGGCAGTGGGTACATTTTCTCTTTCTTTCCTTCTCTCTCTCTCTCTTTTTCTTTCTTTTTTTTTTTTTTTGCTGTCAAACCTAGCGAGAAGCCATGGTAGTGGGTAAATGTCAGTATGATTTCTTCTTCTGTAAATATCTTTCATGAATACCAGGGTGTCCTTCTGGGTCTTGGTCATTTTCAGCAGTGCTAGGCTGCTGGCTGCCTCTGCCGCTGGCGTCGTCTTCAACACCTAACTGTATGTGCTTGCGATTCTAACTTAGAAGAGTTGGAGTTTATCATGTCTTTGTGTTAAGCATCCCATAGTCTGACAGGGAGTCACCAGCTGCCACCGTGAGGGAGACTGTGGGCAGCAGGTAAGCTTAGAGGCCTCCTGGAACACTCTTGTTTTCCTCACCTAAAATGTGAGGCCAGTGGCAGTGAGAGAAGGGTATGTGCGTGTTTACCTCAGTCCTGTAGCCAGAACTCTACTGAAAAGAGTTGTGCTTAGGTGTGCATAGGGTTACAAGGCAATTTAACTGACTAGCTAGGTTTATGAATACTGCATCTTCAAGATCAGTTGGCCTCTTTGAAACAGTGAAAGAGTTAGATGACTTGAGTAAGATCCCTTGTAGCGGTGACATAGGTGATAGGCAGCGGCATTGCTCTCTCCTGGTGAGTAGAGAAAAAGATAAAAATCAGTTCAGGTCATGAGATTGTTCCAAATGAAATTGGCGAGTTGCTAAAAAGCTCCCATTTAGGGAGCATGAGGGTTGGAATGTTCCTTTGTAGATAAGTGATAGCGTTTGCTATTTACAAAGTTCTTAGTTGGGCTGGACGCACTGTCTCACACCTGTAATCCCAGCGTGTCCGGAGGGCGAGGCGGGTGGATCACAAGGTCAGGAGATGGAGACCATCCTGTGTGAAACTCTGTCTCTACTAAAATACAAAAAACTAGCCGAGCATGGTGGCACATGCCTGTAGTCCAGCTACCCAGGAGGCTGAGGCAAGAGAATTGCTTGAACCCAGGAGGCAGAGGTTGCAGTGAGCCGAGATCATGCCACTGCACTCCAGCCTGGCAACAGAGCAAGACTCCATCTCAAAAGAAAAAAAAAAGTTCTTAGTCTAGGAGGAGAGCTGCAGAATAATTTTAAGAAAGTGTCAAGAAGGAAAGCATTTAAGTATAAACCAATGAAATGTGGATTCTGATAAGATTCCCCTGTTAAACAGCAGTTGGGATTAGGACATCCCAGAATCTACCGTGAGTAGAATCTCATAAGATTAAAGCCACGGTTTTAGGAAAAAAATAATCACATTGATTCACTCATTTGGTAATAAAAACACATTGCAGAAAGAGACGTGGCTGCTTCGAGCCACTCACTCGAATGCCCAGTTTCGCTGTCACAGCAGCAGCCGAGGAATAAACCTCGAGGCCCCTGCTCTGTGTTTAGAGCAAACAAACAAAAGCTGTTGAGGATGGAAAGGATCTTCCTGGGGTCAGGCCATGTCTCGAGAGATGATGTAGGACCCCTGTTCTGGCAGCGGAGCTCCAAGACAGCTTGGAAGTTCGGATTCTGGCTGCGGTTGCAGGTTGCTGTGGCTCTGCAGCTGGTTGGACCAAGTGGAAGAGAACGCCGGTCCACAGATAGGAGGGAGATGTTCTCCCTGTTCTCCTTTCAGTCCGTATAAGACAGAGCTGTGAACATTCTTCGTTTCAAATGAGAGCCTAGAACTCAGTGAAGGCTTTGCCACTGCTCCTGATAGTAGAGTTCCATTAGCATCAGGTGGGTTTCCAGGTGCCTGTCAGTTGGAAACGGTCCCCTGTTGGCATCAGAGAGAGCATGTGCAAGCATTAACAGTAACAGTGTTGGTGCAGTAGGTTGATAGGACTAGTTCTTAGGTCAGTCAGCACAGGAACTTTAATTTGTAAATACTTTACTTAAAATGCATCGATCAATGTTTTCATCATCATCTTTTTTTTTTTTTTGAGATTGTCTCGCTCTGTCACCCAGGCTAGAGTGTCGTGGCGTGAACGAGGCTCACTGCTGCAGCCTCAACCACCCTGGCTCAAGCAATCCTCCCTCCTCAGCCTCCCAAGTAACTTGGAACTACAGGCATGCATCACCATGCTTGGCTTTTTTTTTTTTTTTTTTTTTTGCAGTGATGGGGTATCACTGTGTTGCCCGGGCTGGTCTCAAACTCCTGAACTCAAGTGACCCTTCTGGATCTCGAAGTGCTGGAATTACGGGTGTGAGCCACTGTACCTGGCCAGTGTTTTCCTCTTTTATCTGAATATCAGAAAGATTTCCAAGGACAAAAACAATATAGGTCTGCAGAAATGTGGGGATGAAACCCCAGAGCCCTCCCAAGAATTCTCTCCTTGGGTTTCATTTTTCCTTTGATCGGCTAAACTTGCCTGTTTGTTCATGAGGGTGGTGCTGAGAAGAAGAAAGACTGATGGAAAGAAAAGAACTTTCCTAAAGATACAGCACGTGAATTTTTGCCTTAAGAGTTCGTGTTAACCATTCAAGTTTGTATTTACTATATATTTTTTAAAAACAGCAACCAAAAAAACGCTGATGAAGGTTTTTGCCACTTTGTTTTCTGCGAGAGGTTTGTTGGCAATTCTGTCTGTTGAAAATTTTGGAATCCAGTCTTGTCACTTGTAAAGCTGCGTTCAGTTTCCTTGGAGCTTTCATTCCAGGTGTAGTGACAGCTCCAGTTCAAAGGGGGCGCTGTCTTGCTGGTGGCACTTTGAGACCTTAAGCCAGTCACAAAACATGAGACCTATGAAGTGGTGAGAGAAAAGGCATTTAGATGAACATATTTATTTTTCAGTGCTTTTTAGAAAAGTATTATGTCACTTTTTATTTGTTTTTATTTTTTAAGTAGAGACAGCCTTGCTCTGTTGCCCAGACTCGCCTACGGTAGTACTGTCAGAGCTCACTGCAGCTTTGAACTCATGGACACAAGTGATCTTCCCACCTTAACCCCCTGAGTTCCTGGGACTATGGGTGTGTGCTACCATGTCTGCCTGATTTTCTTATTTTGTAGAGACAGGGTCTTGCTATGTTGCCCAGGCTGGTCTTGACCTCATGCGGCCCTTCCACCTCAGCCTTCCAAAGTGCTGGGATTACAGGCATAAGCCACTGCACCCAGGCTATTTTGTAGCTTTGGTAACTATTCTTAATGCTCTTTCATCAGAGAAAATGGAAGAATGGATTTTAAACTTTTATAATTTGAAATTTAAAATGAACATGTACGGGATGTATGACATGCAGTTTTGCTTTCTTTTTTTTTGAGATAGGGTCTTATTGTGTTGCCCAGGCTGAAGCGCGGTGGTGCTGTCATAGCCCACTGCAGCCTTGACCTCCCAGGATCAAGCAATCCTCCTGCATCAGCCTCCTGAGTAGCTGAGACCGCAGGTGTGCCCCACCACGCCTGGCTGATTTTTGTATTTTTTGTAGAAACGAAATCTCACTGTTGCTCAGGCTGATCTCAAATTCTTGGGCTCAAGTGGTCCTCCCTACCTGGCCTCTTAAAGTCTTGGGAGTACAAACATGAGCCACCACGTCTGGCCAGTTTTTCTTTTTTAATTGAAGAGTTGGCTCTTCCTGGATCTAGAAAATGTTGAAAATCTGTGGGTCTGGTAGCGTGTGACACCAGTGGTCAGGTTCCACACTGTCCCTGCCGGTGTGGCGTGGGTCTGTGGCAGTGATGAGCCTTCTGAGTAGAGGGTCCCAGAGGAGGGAATGGCCATCTGGGCATATTCTGCCAGCTCACGGCTCCGCCAGGGCTCTTGCTCTGTCCACTGCCCCCCAGAGCTCTCAGAGCAGCTCCTCAAGGAGAGGTGTTCTCTGCTGGGGTGGGGGTGTCAGGGAGAGACAGTCCTTGGGATTTAAATGACGTGAAATCACGTTCAGTGTTTCCCTTGTTCCTTAGTTTTCCTGATTGCAGCGAGGACTTTGAATATATGGATTTTATGCTGAGTTTCTCTTTTTCTTTTTCAGCTCCACTTAAGGAAAAGCTGTACCGTGCTTCCTTCCGGAAGTGGCATCTACCTGTGCAAGAGAGTAGTCATGCAGCCGCCACCCCAGGCGGTCCCGTCTGGCGCTGCTGGGCCACCCCCAGCCGGGAACCCTCGGAGCATGTTCTGGGCTGGCAGCCCTTATAGGAGGCGAGCGAATAACAGTGCACCAGTGGCTCCGCCCACTTGCCCGTTGCAGCCGGTGACAGATCCGTTTGCTTTTAGTAGACAGGCGCTCCAAAGCACACCGCCGTTCAAAAGCAGCCCACCTGTCCTGCAGGGCCCAGCTGCCCCTGGGTTTTCTCAGCAGCCCGGTTTGCTTATGCCTCACACGCAAGCCAGGGACGGCTCTCAGGGACCCTGCGGGCCCCTGCCGGGACCTCTGCCACAACCCAGAGCAGATGCCACTCTGCTTTCTGGTACATCAGCATCTTCAGCACCTCATGGGCCTGAGCTGAACAGAAGTGCAGAGGGCGGTCCCAGGTCAGAGCCTGAAGTTCAGACCCCGCCACATCCGCCTCACTGCATTCCAGGAGTGGATCCCGAAACGTCTCATGGGGGCCATCCTCAGGGGAACACACCTGGGCTCGACCGACCCCTAAGCAGGCAAAACCCACATGACGGTGTGGTTACCCGAGCGGCGTCACCTTCCCTGCCCCAGCCTCATCTGCAGATGCCGGGACAGTGGGGGCCCGTGCAGCCCTCAGGGCAACATCGTTCACCCTGCCCTGAAGGACCCACTCAGAGCGGGATGCCTGGTGCCACCGGCATTCCTCATTTCCCTGCTCCGTCCATCCTGCATCAGGGCCCTGGTCACGAGCAACACAGCCCGCTAGTGGCTCCCCCGGCCGCCTTGGCCATTGACGGAAGAGACGAGGTGGGCCATTTGCAAAGTGGAAGCCACCTGGCCAGTAACTTTGACCCTGAAAATACTTCATTTAGGCAAAATCCTAGAATTGTGAATAATTGGGCAAGCCCGGAGCTCAGGCAGAATCCAGGAGTGAAGAAGGAGCACCGGCCCGCCTCTGCTCTTGTGAACCGCCTTGCCCAGGGAGATAGCCCAGAAAACCACTCGCACTATCCACTGGGGGCAGGGCCTGGCCGCGCCCCGCTGGAAGCAGACTCGGGAGCTCTGGCGATGTTTTTCCAAGGGGAAGAGACAGAAAATGAGGAGAATCTGTCGTCTGAAAAGGCGGGCTCATCTGGTCAGGCAGACTTTGACGATTTCCGCTGCAGCTCTGCACTGGGCCATCCACTCCCACCTGCACACCCGGGGGCAGGCGGCCTCTGCCAGGCCCTTCTCCCAGGTGCCAGCAGTGAGGCCGCTGGTGATGTGTGGGGTGATGCAGCGGGCACAGGGGTGCTGGACACCAACGGCTCGCAGTATGAGAATGTTGAGAACTTAGAATTCATTCAGAATCAGGAAGTTCTGCCAAGTGAGCCCCTCAATTTGGACTCTTCTTCCCCGAGTGACCAGTTCAGATGTGGGCCCCTTCCTGGGCCAGCAGTGCCCAGGCATGGTGCTGTGTGCCATGCCGGAGCCCCTGATGCCACAGTGCACGTAGTGAACCCTGACGGCGTGGCATCTGGCTATAGCAGCAGAAGCCACACGAGGCTTTCGAGCTCAGCCAGGCCCCAGGAACTGGTGGGCACATTCATTCAGCAAGAAGTTGGAAAACCCGAGGAGGAAGCTTCAGGTAGTTTTTTTAAGCAAATTGATTCCTCTCCCATAGGAGGCGAAACAGATGAGACCACTGTGAGCCAGAATTACCGTGGCAGTGTGTCCCAGCCTTCAACCCCAAGCCCCCCAAAACCCACAGGAATATTTCAGACAAGTGCAAATAGCTCTTTTGAACCAGTAAAATCCCACTTAGTTGGGGTAAAACCATTTGAGGCAGATCGCGCCAATGTGGTGGGTGAAGTAAGGGAGACCTGTGCCCAGCAGAAGCAGCGCAGACCAGCTGCTGCCCTGCCTGGTGCTTCCCCTGGCAACCTGGAGCAGCCACCAGACAACATGGAGACCCTCTGTGCACCCCAGGCCTGCCCTCTGCCTCTCAGCTCTGCCACGGAACCCGGGCACATGGCTCCACACACAGGGGCACCGCTGTTGGATACTGTGAATCCAGCCCCTGAGAAGAGGCCTTCGGCCAGGGCCCAGGGGCCCAGGAAGTGCGAGAGCCCAGCGACGACTCTGTGGGCGCAGAGCGAGCTGCCAGACTTCGGAGGCAACGTCCTCCTGGCCCCTGCAGCCCCAGCGCTTTATGTGCCTGCAAAACCTCAGCCACCTGAAGTTGTTCAGCCTCCAGAAGAGGCGGCGTCCGGGCAGCGGTCACAGAAGCCAAGCTTGGCGGCCCCTTTGCAGAGCCGAGGTGGCATTGGTGCTTCTGAGAACCTTGAGAACCCTCCCAAAATGGGAGAAGAGGAGGCCCTTCAGTCCCAGGCGAGTTCTGGTTATGCCAGTTTGTTATCCTCACCGCCCACTGAGTCTCTGCAGAATCCGCCTGTCTTGATTGCCCAGCCTGATCACAGCTACCATCTGGCTCAGCCCATTCACTTTTCTGTGTCCTTACCGAACCCTAATGAGAAGAATCAGTCCTGGAGAGAGACTTTGGTGGGGAATAGACCCGCAGTCAGCAGCTGGGCTCTCAGCGGTGATTCTGGGGAGAACGCTTCTCTGTCTGGGATTCCAACCAGCTCTGTGCTTAGCTTGTCTCTGCCTAGTAGTGTTGCCCAGAGTAATTTTCTGCAAGGTTCTGGTGCTTCTGAAATGGTTTCTAATCAGCCTGCCAATTTGCTGGTTCAACCACCATCCCAGCCAGTTACAGAGAACCTGGTTCCAGAAAGTCAGAAGGATGCTAAGGCAGGAAGTGCTCTTGCCGGGTTTGCTAATAGCCCTGCGGGAAGCACAAGTGTGGTGTTAGTTCCACCTGCGAACTGCACCCTCGTGCCTGATGGTGATAAGGCAAACCATTCCAGTCACCAGGAAGACGCTTACGGAGCCCTGGACTTTAGCCTAGGCAGGACTGTGGAAAACCCATCCCTTCCTGAAGACCTCGCTTCTCAGCAAGCTGCTGCCAGTCATCCCAGACAGTCCGGGCCCGGGGTGCCTAACCCTGACTGTTTTTATCAGCAGGTCGTGAAAGATGCCCAGGGCCAGCCTGGCCTCGAAAAAGCCCCCCAGCAACAGGCTTCTTCCCCACAAGTGCCCAAAGCCATGTTTTCAGAGCTGTCAAATCCAGAAAGTCCGCCAGCACAGGGGCAGTCCCAGAACTCAGCCCAGCCACCAGCAAGTCTGGCTCCGGCCGACGCGGGTCAGCAGCTGCCGCCTCGGCCGCCTCAGTCCTCCAGTGTGTCGCTGGTGTCCGCCGGCTCCAGCCAGGCAGCCGTGCCATCAGAGCAGCCGTGGCCACAGCCGGTGCCTGTGCTTGCTCCGGGCCTGCCGCCTCCGGACCTGGCCGCCTACTACTACTACCGGCCTCTGTACGACACCTACCAGCCTCAGTACCCCTCGCCGTACCCGCCGGAGCCTGGCGCGGCCTCCCTCTATTACCAGGTAGAGTTGAGTCTCATGTGGAACCCATTTCTTTCCTTGCTGTGACCAGTTGGGTTTCTTTCCCTCACAGCCTGTTCCTTAGCAGTGTTTGTTCGCTTGGTTCCAAGGTCACCCACGGTCCCACAGGCATGAGAGCAGCATCCCGGCAGTGCTTCCTGGGGACAGGGCTCGCGGGCCCCAGAGCTTGCTCTCTCAGCGCAGGCTACCCTTAGCAGTTCACACCATGCATTAACATATTGAATTGCTTATAACACGTGCTACGATGTGACGAAAAGAGCCCTCCATTTCCTGTCACCCCTGCTGGCTGTCTGCAGAGGTGCTCTGTTGCACACCCTGGGAAGCTGGGATAGCCTCTGGAAGCTTTTGTGTGGTTTTGACATAAAAAACCAATGCAGAAGCATTGGGCATAGCCAGAGGCCTTTAAATGCCTCCCACAGTGAAAACATTGAGGGAAAACAATTAGTTTTGGAGCAGGATCCGCACGTGCCAGAGGAGCAAGGCTGCTCTCAGCACAGGGCGGCGCGGGCATCGGCTGGGGGACCCGCCGTGCTCCTGCAGAAGATATCTTCTGTGCGTCTTTTCACAGGGACACGAGCTCATGAGTGGCATTTAAGTTAGGTTCAGTGTAGTCCTGCAGTTGCTTGGAAAGTGTCTGTGTGCACACCTTTGATTGCTGCCTGCCTTTCTACCCTGTAACCCAGTTCAACACACAGCGGTTGGGTTTGCTGATTGTACCAGGTAGAAGGGTTGCGTGGTTGCAGAACCGCGGTCTTGCAGTATGTCAGGCCAGTCCAAACCAGACACGGGCCGCACAGGAAGGCCGCACGGTCAGAAGGCGGCCGTGGCCGGCTGGGTACCACCCCCGGGAACGGGGCTGGGCCTTCTCATGGCCTTCAGCATCGTGGTTCGTATGCGTGTGACCAGGTGCACACCCGACCCCTCAGACCTGTGTAGGTTCTGGGAGAAGCCCAGGCACGTTTTATTTCCATACAAGGATGCTGAGCTCTGCTGGGGTCTCTGGGGTGGAGCAGGTGCAGAATGAGGGAAGCTGTGGCCTGGCTTCATGTCCTTTGTACAGAGCTCCCGCCGCAGGCTGACCTCCCTTTCCGAGTGCACTCCTGCCGTGCCTCTTGCCGTGGTGTCCAGCGGTGGCCAAGGATGAGTCCGCTTTGCTGTGATTTCACTTTACCTGCCAGACAGCGGCAGTGTCGAAGCGTTCAGGCCCAGATTAATGAATTCCGGCATGTACCTGAGGGGGACCTTCACATCTTCATGTGTCCACGTGGGCCCCCTTAGGGACAGATCTGTGGCCATGAATTGGTTGATGATGGGGCAGAAGCCTCCCGAGAATGAAGCATAGTCCCCTTTGGAGGCTGCTCCTGGCTGTTGCTCCGTTCACTGGGACCCCGGTTCTCTGACTTAACTGAGGTAGCGTCCGAAGCAGGATGCAGGGATTGTTCAGATCATGGCATCTCCTCATTGGAGCCATCAGGAAGCAGAAACCTAACAGCCCCTTCCAGAAGTCGCCGCAGCCCGCTGCGGTTGCCTGCTGACACGCTGGTGCCCTGGGCCCATCCAGGGAGGGGTCTCCTGAACAGGGCCAGGGCTGTGGGTGTGAGGCCGGCCCCGCTGCCTGTGGGGTGGCTGCCCTCGGAGGTCCGTGCAGTCGTGCGTAAGGGAAGGGCCACACTCAGTCCCCCCGCTGGAGGGCAGCCATCTGCGATGTCTCCAGCTCAGGCTGGTGGTTGGATGAGTTCGCTCTTGATTGGTATCTAATGCGGCCCACATGCTTCCTCCTACAGGACGTCTACGGTCTCTATGAGCCTCGATACAGGCCCTACGACAGCGCAGCGTCCGCCTACGCCGAGAACTACCGCTACCCCGAGCCCGAGCGGCCCAGCTCCCGAGCCAGCCACTCGTCAGAGCGGCCACCTCCCAGGTGCGGCCGTGCCCGCCCCGGCTGCCTGCCTGTCATACTCAGACCCATGTCTGTGTTGCTGGCTGTGGGGAGAACTTCGTGACTTGAAAAATTCTGTATTTGTGAGGAATCATACAAACTTACCCAACATGTGTACATTTTTTCAGTGTGGACAAATTGTAGATGTCTTTTTAAACAGAAATGAACACTGCCCGGGCAGTCATTAGCCGTGCTGGTTAGTTAGCATTTGGCCCCACCTCTGCGGGGCCAGACCCTGTACAGGGCTGCAAAGAGGCCACCTCTGACTTCTCTGTGAGCCCGTCTGGCCGAGCACATCTGTTGCTCCAGCCATTTGCTAATGAGGTATTCAGCCTCCCTAGAGACACAGCAGCTTTTCACCCGGCTCCGGAGGCATGGGAGGACTGGTCACTCAGGTCTAATCCTTAGACCTGTCAGGCTGGCTCCAGAAAGCAGGGCCTGAAAGCCTGTGTTTCCTTTTTTTTTCTTTTGAGACAGGTCTCCCTCTGTTGTCCAGGCCGGAGTGCAATGGTGCCGTCTTGGCTCACTGCAGCCTTGACCTCCTGAGCTCAAGTGATCTTCCCACTTCAGCCTCCTGAGAAGCTGGGACTACAGACATGCCCAATCAAACCCAGCTAATTTTCTTCGTTTTTTTTTTATAGAGATGAGGGTCTCACCATGTTGCCCAGGCTGGCCTCGAACTCCTGGCCTCAAGGGACCCTCCTGCCCTGGCCTCCCAAAGTGCTGGGATTACAGGCATGAGCCCCCACACCCGGCGAGCCTGTTTCTCCTTGACGTTGCCTCCTCTGCTTGAATGCTGGCAAGTGTCCCTGGCCTGCTTGTCCCCTGTACTGGCCAGCCACGCCTCTGTTTGCCATTACAGAAAAAAGGTTTGGAAAGACCTGTGGCGCTGTGCCTTCAGCCGTGAGTAAGCCTTCCTGCCAGGTCAGAGTCCTCCGGGCCGTAGAGCAGAGGAGGCTGTTGTGGATTTTCATTTCCGCAAGGGGGGTGTGCAGAGCCCTGAGCGGGGTGGGGTATGGGTCCCGGCTGCTGCACTTGGCTGTGCCTTCCAGGGCCTGAGCTGCACTTGCTCCTTGTCAGGTCTGAGAGTGACTGTCTCGCACATAGAGGTTCCCTGCAGGGGAATACTGCCTCAGCTTGGTGACAGAGAAGAAGCTAGTTGTCAATGAAGACTTGGTACCTGCACTTGTTTTGGAAAGGTTCCTCATGCTTATTCTTAGAGGCTTTTAGGAGGTGATCTGAAGACTAAGGCTCTGTCTGTGACCCTCTCCCATGCCACTGGCCCTGGCGTCCTCAGCTCTGAGGGCGCGCGCTGGGCCGTGTACAGCTGGATGTTCTAGGCGCCTTAGGAAGCTGGTGACGCTGTGAACCTTTGCCTTTCAGGAGGCTGTAGTTGTGAGAAAATTCCCAGTTGTGAGCTACTGTGTGTCACCCTGTCACCTGGGAAGTGGGGTTTGAAGTTAAGATCATATTCTGATTCAAAGCCTGCCAGGTCCAGGTGAGGGTGAGCAGGCAGGTGTTTACTAGAGCCCTGAGAGGCGAGAGCACAGAGGAGAGACAGCAGGGAGGGCTCCCACCCTTCGGTTCTCCTCCTGCTGGCCGCCCTGCCCGGCTCACATAGAAACCGATTCTGAGAGGCCAGTGGTAGCTCATGATACGGAGAGGCCTGTCACCAGAGGCGGGGTCAGGTCACCACCACAGGAGTGGCCTTGTCACTGGAGCCGCAGGCTTCCTCTTCCTTCCCGGGTTTGGATCCTGTGGCTGCCTTCAGCCCCGGTTTGCGCAGGCTTGAGAATCCTCTCTGCTCTTTCCTGTGCTGTGGCTGGGGAGTGCACGTCTGACGTGTGTTCCATCTTGGAGCTTGTGTGTGTCATGGACTCGCCTTTCTGGGCCCGGTGTGCTCAGATCCCCACAGGCACTGCCTGTCTCAGCCTTGTTCGCTTTTGAGACTGTGTCGCCCCAGGTGAAGGATGGGTTGGAAAGCTCAGCTGAGGAGGCGGCGGCTCCTTGGTTTCACCCCATGTCAGATAATTTCTCCAGAAGCTGCTGTGGCGCACGTGAATGTTGTGGACCCTAGAGGGCCGCTCAGGCTGTCGGTTGACAGGGCTCATTACTGTGGCTGAGCAGTTGGATGTGGGGGCGATCGGGCTGGGCCCCGTGCCGCCCAGCGACAGCCCTGTCTATGCAGAGCTGCTGCGCCGGCCAAGTGACCAAGCTCAGTGGGGTGTGTGCAGCTCCCACGATGCCTCCTGAAGGGGCGTGGGAAGAGTCACTCTATAAATATTGTATGAAAATTATAAAATGCTCTTAAGTCTTTTCAAGGGTCTTTTTTAGGTCTCACTCTGTTAGCCAGGCTGGAGCGCAGTGATGCCCTCGTAGCTCACTGCAGCCTCAAAACCTGCTGGCTCAAGCCATCCTCCTGCCTCAGCCTCCGAGTAGCTGGGACCACAGGTGTGTGCTACCATGCCTGGCTAATGTTTTATTGTGTTATGGAGATGGGTCTCACTACGTTTACCAGGTTGGCCTTTCAGGAATCTTGAAAGCACCGGAAGGTCTGATACTGATCATTGTACTAGATTGTTCTTTCCCTGTAGCCAGAGTCAGGATCATGGCTTGGTCTACAAAACCAGCCTTTCTGATACCACGTCAGCTCCAGGAGACCTGAGGGGACGTGGGGCCATCAGAGTCCTACTCCAGGAGCACACACAGGCTCCGACAGGCAGGAGCACACGCACAGGCTCCGACGGGCACCCAGCGCATGTGTGGGAAGCACCAGCAGCCAGTGGTCTGCGGTGGAGGCTGTGAAGCTGGCATTTTTGTTTGAATGAGTCAGTGAGGCTGGGCACGGTGGGTCACGCCTGCAATCCCAGCACTTTAGGAGGCTGTGATGGGTGGATCACTTGAGCCCAGGAGTTCGAGACCAGCCTGGCAACATGGTGAAACACTGTCTCTGTGAAAAATACTAAAAAATTAGCTGAGTGTGGTAGCACGTGCCTGTAGTCCCTCGGAAGCTGCAGTGCGAGGATCCCTTGAGCCCAGGAGGTGGAGGTTGTGTTGAGCTGAGATCACGTCACTGTACTCCAGCCTGTGCAACAGAGGGAGACCTGTCTCAAGAAAAAAAACCTCAGTCCGTTTTGTGTTCTGCTGAGCATACTATCAGAAATTCTGGGACCTGTTTAGCATTGACTTATGTTGGCGACAGCAATGAGAACACAAAAAGGGTCAGTTCTTTTTGGCTGAATGGCTCTTAGTTATTTTACCAGGATAAATTTTAACTAGCTGTATGGTGGGAAATGCCACAGTCTCATCCTTGCTACTGTTTTGGATTTTCTAATTGGAGTTTTTGTACAACCAAAGTGCTTTGATGAATGCCTATTGTTTGGGAATTATTTGTATTGGCTGATGTCACACTTTAAGAAATAGGAAATTTGTTTTTTAACAGGACTGTGTTTTTCAGGCAGGGGTATCCTGAAGGGTACTATGGTTCCAAAAGTGGATGGAGCAGTCAAAGCGATTACTACGCAAGCTACTACTCTAGCCAGTGCAGCTACGGAGGTACGTTGAGGAATCCCAGGCAGCTGGCCCAGCAGGGGCCTTGTGCGAAAGACACCAACGACGTGCAGCCCTGGCCAGGCAGCACCTGCTGGTGACTTCCAGGAAATGTCCCCTTTTGTTAGTCTCTTCTTTATGAGCCAAAATACTGAAAATACTTTGTATTTGAAAACAATTATGTTGATATTTTTCATTATGGAATTATATCTTAATTATAGCTTGAATGCATTTTTGTCATATTGGCAGATTTCTCTGATTTTCTGGCAAAGCATAACCATCAGCAGTTCGAGAGCTGCTGTGTCCACACGTGCCTCCGTCAACATAAACGGATGAAAAGGAAATGAAATGAAAAACCATCTCCTCCGTCCCACCGGCCATGTTTCCCGTGCTCCTGGACCACAGGAGGCTGGCAGCTGCTGCCTGGGACAGTGTGGACATGGGCTGGGCCCAGTGGGCAGCGTCCTGGGTGCTCCCTGGCGGTGTCCAGCTGCAGCCACGCTGCCCTCCATGCAGCATGTACGGCACAGTGGCCGTGTCCATGGGAAGAGCCTCCCCCCTTTACTCTTGCCCTGGCTGTGGCCTCTTGTGCTCTGGGCCCATGAAGCCCCTCGGCAGATATCAAATATCCTCTTTGATATTTGCACCTGTTTTAAATACAGATTTTAAAAAGAAGGACGTCTTTAGAAACGATGATAAAAGACCTTTTAAGAACTTCTTCATAATACTTATTAAAAATACTTGCTGAAAATGATATACCAGTTTGTTTATAGCCCTTTTAAAGTAACCTTATGATATTGAGATTATTTTTGAAAACCTTATGAGTCACATCGAGGAGAAGAAATAGTAGTAAAATTTACAGTCAGGGGATTAACTAGTAAAAAGCAGTAACCGCGAAAGAGAACTGGCTGGGCACAGTGGCTCATGCCTGTGATCCCAGCACTTTGGGAGGCTGAGGTGTGGGAGAAGTGCTTGGGCCCAGGAGTTCAAGACCAGCCTGGGCAGCATAGCAAGACCCCATTTCTGTTTAAAAAAGAAAAGAAAAGAAAAGAAAAATGACTTAATAAGTCATTTAGCATATTTTCTAAAGATATTTTCTTTTTAATCTAAAACACTGGTATTGAAAGAAAAATCAGCCAGTTGCCATTAGGTGGCTGGGCCCTGCAGGTCCCATGGCTTCCTGGTATGTGTCTGCTTTCCAGGAGAGAAGTTAGGTTTCTCAAGGAATCCTTGAGCATTAAGTCCTGGAGTGGTGTCGCTGCTTTAGTGAAATCCGAGGCGCAGCTTCTTTTGTGTGTTACTGTATTGATCATTAATTCCTGGCTCACAGATCCAGGTCACTGGGATCGTTACCACTACAATGCTAGAGCCAGGGACCCCCGCACCTATGACCGGAGGTACTGGTGTGAGGCGGAGTATGACACGTACCGGAGAGAGCACTCTGCCTACGGAGACAGGTTGGTGGGGCGCCCCCGGCGGGAGGAGGCCGGGAAGCCGGGACGTGCTGGTGCCGCTCTGCCCTCAGGTCTGGGTTGTAACAGAGAGCTGTGGTACTTTGTGGGAGCAGCTGCCTGATGTTTTGGTCCCTGTCTGAAAGGAAGGAGGAACCAGAGCCTCCCAGGGTTCCCAGCTTGGGCTGGTAGAGGAGGACCGGCCTCAGCATGAGGAAAGTTCAGCCCCTCAGGAGCACTTGGGAGTCCAGGCTCACTCTTTCTCATCATCCTTTCTTCTCTGTTGTGTCCTGCAGCCCAGATAAGTGGCCACACTGGGGCCACATGCGTAGTACTTCTCTACGGCCGTGCGTCAGAGGGGTCTGAGGGTGGGCGTGGTGTGCTGTGGCTCAGCCCCAGGGGTCTGCTCAGGCTCCTGGGCAGCTGTGCAGCACCTGAGGACACGGCCTCCCGAACTTCATCCCCCGACTCTGTCCCCGGCTTCCTCTAGGCCTGAGAAACGTGACAGCAACTGGAGATATGACCCTCGCTTCACGGGGAGTTTTGACGATGACCCTGATCCCCATAGAGACCCTTATGGGGAAGAGGTGGACCGGCACAGCGTCCACAGCGAACAGTCGGCGCGGAGCCTGCACAGCGCACACAGCCTGGCCAGCCACCGCAGCAGCCTCAGCTCCCACTCGCGCCAGGTGCGTGGCGGCACCCACAGACACGCAGACAGCTGTGTTTACAACCACTGTCCTTTTTGCAGTACACCTTAAGTTTTACTGCTTGCTTGGGGAGCTGATTCTGCCCGTTTGCTTTGTTTTCTAAGAGTCAGATTTACAGAAGCCACAACATGACCGCCAGTTCCTACGAGGCCCCACTTCTTCCAGGCTCCTTTCATGGTGATTTCGCCTACGGCCCCTACCGCAGCAATTTCAGCAGTGGCCCGGGCTTCCCAGATTATGGCTATCCTGCAGACACCGCCTGGCCGGCTTTGGAGCAAGGTGTGTGCTCAGCAGGATGGAGGGATGCCGGGTCACCCCGCTGGGGCGCCACCCAGCCCGGGATCCGAACACGGAAGTCAGGGCTGGGACTGGAATTGCGATGACCTGGCCTGGCTCCTCCCTGCGGAAGAAGGATGGCTCTGTCCCAATCCGTCCTTCCCAGAGGCAGAGCATGTCAGGACGGGCCGACACTGTCTCTTTGATTGCAGTTTGGTCTCAGGCCTGAGAGCTGACCTGGCTGCCCCATTGTGTGCTTACAGTGTGACTCTCCGGACAGTCACGTTCAGGCTCTGGGCGGCCCAGTCACATCCCCATCACTGACCCCTTCGCTCAGCAGTCTTGCAGGAGGGAGCTCCTCATTCCCCTTGGAGACTCCGTTCCTGCAGCTGTCCTGTGTGTCGCAGGCAGACTTCCCTTCTAGGATGCTCACGTGCCTTTTCTTGGAAAACTGCAGAAATATATGTAAAGTTACAGAATTTAACAGTGGATTGAATTCCCTTTTTTTTTTTTTTTTTTTTTTTTTTTGAGACAGAGTCTTGCTCTGTCGCCCAGGCTGGAGTGAAGTGGCACAATGTCGGCCCACTGCAACCTCCACCTCCCAGGTTCAAACGATTCTCCTGCCTCAGCCTCCCAAGTAGCTGGGATTACAGGTGTGTGCCACCACACCTGGTTAATTTTTGTATTTTTAGTGGAGACGGGGGTTTGCCATGTTGGCCAGGCTGGTCTCGAACTCCTGACCTCAAGTGATCCATCCACCTTGGCCTCCCAAAATGCTTGGATTTCAGGTGTGAGTCACTGCACCCGGCCTTATTTTCTTAAAGTATTGTTTCAGTTTACAATATTTTTTTATTTCTTTTTATTTTATTAAGAGACAGAGTCTTGCTCTGTCACCCAGGCCGGAGTGCAGTGGCACGGTCACGGCCTCGATCTCCTGAGTTCAGGTGATCCTCCTGCCTTGGATTCTCCCAGAGTGCTGGGATTCCAGGCATGCACCACTGTGCCTGGCTCCTTATTTTCTTTCTTGCTTGAGGAGTTTTGCTGTCCTTTTTGCTGCGTGCTGCATGCTGTGTGGTCATGGCAGTCTGAATTTGCTTTTGTGAAACTGAGAGAGCTCGGGAGTGGGCCAGGCCCGGGAGGAGCAGGTGCCCTGAGCCCCAGGACAGTGTCATGAGGGTGTCACAGGAGCTGTCTCGGTATACAAGGGAATAGCTCTCGTTTTTAATGAGTCAGATGTTTCTCTTTTCCTGATACATGCTAAGTCCTACCCGTAAGCATGATGTTAAACAGCTGTTGACTTAGAGCTGGAAGTTCACCCTGGTGAATCTTAACACAGGATTTCAGTTGTGTGAGCACAGTGAAAGTCTAGCCTCGGAAGCATCAGTGACAACCTGATGGTTTCTTTTTCATTTATTTTAAATGTAGTTTCATCAAGACCAACTTCTCCTGAGAAATTTTCAGTGCCTCATGTCTGTGCCAGGTTTGGCCCTGGCGGTCAGCTTATCAAGGTGATTCCCAATCTGCCTTCGGAAGGACAGCCGGCCCTTGTCGAGGTCCACAGCATGGAGGTAATGGCGCACGCAGAAGTGCGGCGTCCCTGCGCTGCCGCCCGGGGAGCTCCGTCCGTTTGTCATCTTCAGCTGCCAGTTCTTGTCTCTGGATGTGTGTTCTTGGAAATGTTTACTCCTGTGAATATTCAGTTTGTAGGGTTTTGGCTCTGTTTGGTGATGTCTTTTTCTTCCTAGAAGGCAGTATCGTAAGCATCTGCCTTAGATGTTAGACTACACATTTTCTGTCCTCGTTTTGGGGACGTTTGCTTTATTGGTACTTTTCAGTGATGGATGTAGCGGGTGGGCCTGGCACTGCCCATGTGAAAGAGGCGGGTGGGGTGGATGGGCGTGGTGTTGCCGAGGTGAGGGGGGCGGGTGGGGTGGGTAGGCCTGGGGCTGCGGGGGTGAGGGTGGTGGGTGAGAGGGTGGGTGGGATGGATGGGCCCGGTGCTGTAGAGGTGAAGGGCGCTGGTGGAGGTGGAGCAGGTGTGGTGGATGGGCCGGGTGTTGCTGAGGTGACGGGAGCTGGTGAGGGAGGCAGGTGGGATGGATGGGCCCAGGGCTGCCAAGGGGAGGGGGGCATGTGAGGGTGGCGGGTGGGGTGGATGGGCCCAGCGCTGCCGAGGTGAGGGGGTGCTGGCATGCACCTCCTCCTGCAGCTTCTGCAGGCCTCTTCTGTCGCATGTGTTGGGATTCTGCTTGAGGCTCTGGAGAGAAGAAATGGATCTCACTGCTTAAAATAAAGTTTGAAATCATGCCTGTGGCCCAGACAGGCCATGCTCCACGTAACAGCCTTGACAGACCCTTCACCCGCTGTGGGGAGGGGCGGGACGGGTGGGGCAGTGGGCGGGCCGTCCTCTCCTCTCACAGGCCGCATTTGTGCCTGGCTTGGCCAGCCATGCAGCCGGGTGGATGGGCGCTCGCTGCCGCTGACCTGTGGCCCTCTCTCATAGGCCCTGCTGCAGCACACATCCGAGCAGGAGGAGATGCGGGCGTTTCCAGGACCCCTGGGCAAGTACGTTCCTTGTTGAGGTGTTTTCTTTGCCAAGCCCGGCCTGGCAGACACCGCTGCTCACTGTCTGTTCTTTCTGCAGAGACGACACCCATAAAGTGGATGTTATTAATTTTGCACAGAACAAAGCCGTGAAATGTTTGCAGAAGGAAAATTTAATTGACAAGGAGTCTGCAAGTCTCCTTTGGAATTTTATCGTTCTCCTCTGCAGGCAGAACGGGGTGTGTTTCTTTTTACTTCTAGAGCGTTTCTTCTTGTTGCTTCATTTTGTCTTGGGAATGCTCAGCCTCCCTGAGGAACTGGGCGGGATCTGCGTGCCCAGCTGTGGAGCCTTGAGGGCTCCCTAGGCAGCGCACCCTAGCAGCTGGGTGCGGACGGGGAGAGAGCCTGCGCTTGGGTTGAGAGGAGGTTTCAGCCCAGCCCTGCCAGCCTCGGGGAGTTGCGGGTCCGGCGAGGTCCAGGGTGGGACTTCATGCCTATGGTGGTCTCACCCGTCCTCACTGGAGAGCCTTTTGTTCTCCTTCCTGTTCCTCTCGACTCAAACAGACCGTGGTAGGGACTGACATTGCGGAGCTTCTGTTACGAGACCACAGAACAGTGTGGCTTCCTGGGAAGTCGCCCAATGAGGCCAACCTGATTGATTTCACGAATGAGGCAGTGGAGCAGGTGGAAGAGGAGGAGTCCGGCGAGGCCCAGCTCTCCTTCCTCACTGGTGGTCCCACGGCTGCAGCCAACTCGCTGGAGAGAGAAACCGAGAGGTTCCGGGAGCTGTTGCTGTATGGCCGTAAGAAGGTGCGTCCCCGTTGTGGCGCGTGTCCACTGGGTCGGGCCTGGTGGGGGATGCACTGTCCGGAGGGACGCAGCCCATCGGGAGCATCCACGCTGCATGTGGTGCTTTGGGTCTTGCAGTTCCCGGACAATGCTGGACCCTCCCTCGTGCGCTGTCCTTCTGGAGGTGTTCATGTCGGTTTCCTTCTATTTCCAGTGTTGGAGACCTGCAGATTCAGTTTTCAGTCATTTAACAAATGCACATGTTGAGCACGGGCTGTGCCCCCCGCCCGCTATGTGTGCTGAGTCTCAGATACAGCTTGTGTGAGAGACGTCGTGGCATTCTCACAGAGCCAGGCTTGAGTACACAGCCCAGAAGTCATTGGGTGTTGGGAGGATGCCCTGAGCCCAGTAGAGGCACAGTGTGTGGGAAGGCCGCTGCCAGGTGGGCAGCGCGTGCATGTAGCGTCCAGTAACTGCAGTCACAGCCAGGGGCCCAGGGCAGGCGGGCGTTCTGAGACAGGAGCCTGCTCTGGGAGAGTAGGGTTTAGGGGTCCATAGTGACCACAGCAGGGACAGTGTGTGCACAGGAGGGCCTGTTTAGGGTGCATGATGTCCACTTTGGACACGTGGAGCAGGAGAGAGGCCCGCTCATGGGCATGTGTGGCCCTGAAGAGCAGAGATATTGGATAGGCCCAGAGCTCGCTCTCCTCTCATATCATGATAAATTCAGAAAAGGCATATTTGACCAGTAATTTTTTTTTTTTTTTTTGAGACAGGGTCTCACTCTTGCCCAGGCTGGAGTGCACCAGCGTGATCACAGCCTCCTGGGTTCAAGCGATCCTCTCCCGTCTCAGCCACATGCCGCCATGCCTGGCTAATTTATTTTTTTTGAGACAGAGTTTTGCCATGTTGCCAGGCTGGTCCTGAACTCCTGGCCTCAAGCAGTCCACCCGCCTCAGCCTTCCAAAGTGCTGGGATCACAGGCGTGAGCCACCGTGCCCAGCCTGATCAGTGTGATTCTGTTATGGGTGTTTTATAACTGGTTGAAGTCATGTCCCCTGTTAGCTTTTATTAACCCCTTCTTTGACTGTAGCATTTTTGCCTCCTAGCCAGAAGTTCTAAATTATACCCCAAGTTACTTTGGCGAAAGGTGAGGCTACCTTACTGAAGCCACTGTCTACATTGAGAGGATATTCACGGAGGCCTTCTTTTGGAACTGGGGAATTGACTTGAGCGTGTTTCTCCGTGGACAGGGCAGTGTGGCAGACAGCACTGTGTGGCTATCCCTGTTTGTGATTAGCGTGCTTGTGTTTTATGCTGAAAACGGGTCATAAAAGCAGTGAATACCTACAAATACCCACTACCACGGGGACTTTAAAACTCAGGAAAATAATGAAATGCTGACATGTCTTGAATCTCCAAATGGTGAATAAGTGTGTTTTTGAGGCCGTTGGGTTGTCTGTGTGTTTGCTGCTGTGTGAAGACACACGGCCTGTTGCCTGTCGTGACTCATGTCATGTGAGCCCCTCCGATAACTCACCAAGGCCCCTGAAATGCCTTGAAGGATGCTTTGGAGTCTGCCATGAAGAACGGCTTGTGGGGTCATGCTCTGCTGCTTGCAAGTAAGATGGACAACCGGACGCACGCCCGAGTCATGACCAGGTACAGTCCCATGGCGGCCCGGCCCAGTCGAGAGCCCCGTTGGCTCCCTGCAGCACGCGGCGTCCGCACACTCGGCGCAGGCGACAGGCGGATCTCACTTGGCTCTGCTCTCCCACACAAGCTCGGGCTTCCTTGACCTCCAGGCTTCCTTGGGTCATACTGCAGAGAGCTTAAAAAGTTTCTTATTAACTGCATGGTTCTTAATATTTCATTTACAATCTCAGTGAATTCCTTTTGTCTTCGTCTTCTGTAACTTTTTTTACATTCTGGGTTTTGCTCTGTTGCCCAGGATCTCGACCCACTGCAGCCCCTGCCTCCCAGGTTCAAGTGATCCTCACACCTCGGGCTCCCAAGTAGTTGGAATATGCATACTTTGCCTATGTGAATAAGTCTAGTCATTACATCAGAGGGCTGAGGTTGGGTTTTTAAAAATTTATTATTTTATTTTATTTTGAGATGGAGTCTTGCTCTGTCGCCCAGGCAAGAGTGCAGTGGTGCTGTTTCAGCTCACAGAAGCCTCTGCCTCCTGGGTTCAAGTGATTCTCCTGCCTCGGCCTCCTGAGTAGCTGGGATTACAGGAGCAGGCCACCACACCTGGCTGATTTTTATGTTTTTAGTAGAGATAGTAAGGCAGTTTCACCTCGTTAGTCTCTAACTCCTGATCTCAGGGGACCTGCCTGCTTCGGCTTCCCAGAGTGTTGGGATTACAGGTGTAAGCCACCGCGCCCAGCCGAATTTGTTTTTAGCTGAGCCAGCATACGGTCCTTCTGTGTTTATGTCTGCCTAGGTTTGCCAACAGCCTCCCAATCAACGATCCCCTGCAGACTGTCTACCAGCTCATGTCCGGGCGGATGCCCGCCGCGTCCACGGTGAGTGGCACTGCCCTGTGGCGGCTGTGGAGTTGCTTCCTTCCCCATGCTGGTGACCCCGGCTGTGTGGAGTTGGAGTGCTGCTGGCTTCCAGGAACGAGGCTTTGTTTCATTCTTCCTCATGTTAGTGCTGTGGAGATGAGAAATGGGGAGATTGGAGGCCGCATCTCGCCATGGTCTTGTCCAACTTGAACAACAACGTGGACGTCGAGTCCAGGACGATGGCCACCATGGGCGACACTCTGGGTAGGTCAGGGCGGAGACGGGTGTTGGGCCTCACACATGGAGCGCTGAAGGCTCGGTTGTCTGCAGCATTGGCAGGAATCACAAGAACCCGGCCTTCTTGGTCCAGCTGGTGTCTCGAGTGCCTTCTGTGTGCACCCTTAACTTCCACGAGCATTCCCGGCCGCTGAGGCTCCGCCTGTGTTTCTTCTCTCCCCAGCTTCCAAGGGCCTCTTAGATGCTGCACACTTCTGCTACCTTATGGCCCAGGTTGGATTTGGGGTTTATACAAAGAAAACTACAAAACTTGTTTTAATCGGATCAAATCACAGGTAAAGAATCAAGTCAGTGTAGTCCTGTAAGTTTTCCTTTAAAAGTAAAAAAAAAAAAAAAAAAAAATCCTTCTCTAGTTAATTTAGAAATGGCCAGAACCGTGGTTTTGCTTGCGAGTGATTTTCTCCAAGGCTGGTTATGACAATAATGGTCCATTTTTCTCAAGTCAAAGTAATTCCCTTTCTCTGTAGTTTACCATTCTTAAAGTTTGCAACCAATGAAGCGATCCAGAGGACGGAGGCCTATGAGTACGCCCAGTCCCTGGGGGCCCAGACCTGCTCCCTGCCCACTTTCCAGGTAAGAGGTGCTGCCATCCTGCGGCGGAGCAGGCACACAGTCTAACAAGCTTTTGGTTACTTAGATTGTTGGATTTGGTTTTTTTTTTTTTTTTTTTCTTTGAGTCTGAGTCTCGCTCTGTCGCCCAGGATGGAATGCAATGGTGCAATCTCAGCTCACTGCACCCTCTGCCTCCAGGGTTCAAGCAGTTCTCCTGCCTCAGCCTCCCAGCAGGTCCACGCCACCACACCCAGCTAATTTTTTTTTGTATTTTTTGGTAGAGACGGGGTTTCACCATGTTGGCCAGGATGGTCTTGATCTCTTGACCTCGGGATCCACCCCCACTCAGCCGCCCAAAGTGCTGGGATTACAGGCGTGAGCCACAATGCCCAGCAGATTTTTTGAATTCTTATGGAAAAAATGGTGTGATTTTTTTTTTTGAGGGGGAGGATGTTGAGAAGACATTTGATCTGTAATGCTAAGAAACTACATCGCGTTGAGTTGAGTATTTCCGTTTGCATTTGACTTCAGGTACTTTCATGAGCCTTTTTTGTTTGTTTGTTTTTAAGGAGACAGGGTCACACTCCTTTGCCCAGCCTGGAGTGCGCTGGTGTGATCACTCCCAGGCTCAAGTGACTCACCTCCGCCTCCAGAGTGGCTGAGACTACAGGCATGCAACACCGTGACCCACTAGGTTTTTTATTTTTTTGTAGAAAAAACGATGTTGCCCAAACTGATCTTAAACTCCTGGGCTCAAGCAGTCCTCCTCTCTCAGCCTCCCAAAGTGTTGGGATTTCAGGTGTGAACCACCACGCCCAGCCCGTATGAGCTATTTTTAATATTTGAGGGAGGTATTCTCTGATGCAGTATGAGGGTAATATGTATAAAATATGTAGGGGGGGACTCAGTGGCTCACGCCTGTAATCCCAGCACTTTGGGAGGCCAAGGTGGGTGGATCACCTGAGCTCAGGAGTCAGAGACCAGCCTGGGCAACCTAGCCGGGTGTGGCAGCATGCGCGGGTATTCCCAGCTACTCAGAGGCCGAGGTGGGAGGACGGTGTGAGCCCAAGAAATTGAGGCTGCAGTGAGCTGTGATTGTGATCACTCCAGCCAGGGTGACAAAGTGAGACCCTGGCAAAAAAGAAAAAAAAATAAATAGACTCAAGTATCTAGAGAACGTCTGTGGGGCAGCTTGCGCTGCCCAAAAGGCAGTGGCCTCAGTGCGCGCAGTCGGGACGCTGTGGCTGTGAGAGCCAGGTGGCCACATGAAAGGGACGGGGGGAAGCAGAGTGATGTTCTTACCAGCTTAGTCCTTGACTTTGCTCTTGAAATCCCTCAGGAACAGGGACTAGGACTTCGGTCAGCGGGCATGGGGGGAGGGCGACAATGGTGAGTGACGCGTCCTGAAGAGTCCGCAGCTCACAGGACGATGCTTGGACGTGGGAGAGCCACGGGACAGCAGGGCTGCGTCTGTCCTTTCAGGTGTTTAAGTTCATCTACTCCTGCCGCCTGGCGGAAATGGGGCTGGCCACGCAAGCCTTCCACTACTGCGAGGCCATCGCGAAGAGCATCCTGACGCAGCCGCACCAGCACTCCCCGGTGCTCATCAGCCAGCTTGTGCAGGTGCTGCCCCCCACCCCGCGCAGGCACGGAAGGAGGGCTTCCAGGGCCCCTGGGCATCGGGGTGGTGTCCTGAGGGCTCAGATGCGCATTGTGGTAGGCGCGTGGAACCTGCCTCTTGGGCAGGTGAAGATCTTTGAATGGCTTTGTGTGTTGCCTCTTCGCGTGGGGACTGTCAGGCACCGTCTGCCAGCACAGAACATTGGCAGCGAGTTACACCATCAGAAGGAACTGTCTAGGATACTCTTTTTTTTTTAGATGGAGTGTCACTCTGTCGCCCAGGCTGGAGTGCAGTGGTGCAATCTCAGCTCACTGCAAACTCCGCCTCCCAGATTCAAGCAATTCTCCTGCCTCAGCCTCCCGAGTAGCTCAGATTACAGGCGCCCAGCACCACGCTCAGCTAATTTTTTGTACTTTTAGTAGAGATGGGGTTTCACTATGTTGGCCAGGCTGGTCTTGAACTCCTGACCTCAAGTGATGCATGCATCTGCCTCGGCCTCCCAAAGTGCTGGGATTATAGGCATGACCCACCACGCCCGGCCAGGATATTCTTATTTTGAGGCAACTTAGTCTGGTGGTCGATAGCTTAAGTGTCCAGAACTCAGCAGCCTTTGTTTGAGCCCTGGCTGCACCGCTCTGGCCTTACTTTCTCCCTGTAAAACGGAGGCGGCGTGACTGGCAGAGAGAGTGGGCGACGCCATGCTCCCTTCACCTCTGGGCAGTAGTTGCATTTGTAAGAACCTGCTCATGGGATACCCAAAAAAACTTATTAAGTTTTTAGACCCATTTTTAGACCCATTTCAAAGTGGAGAGAATCATTCGGTCCTCATCCCCACATCAGTGGTTACAAACACAAGGCCAAACTTGGGTTCTGCTCCCCACCCCCACCCCGCTCTGCATCCCCCAGATTCGGACGCTCTCAGGTGAGTCCAGCTTTTTTGGAGTCAGGTCCACATGGTCACTTCGCAGCCTTGGGCCTGGCCTGTCCCACGTGGGGCCAGCACTGCCCACCCAGTGCATGTGGGCGGAGAGGTCACCTACAGCAACTTCTCACGGTTGCCCAGCGTCCAGTGCTGGGTGTGTCACTAAGCACATGCTGGAAACGTGTGCAGCTAACTAAACTTCATCTGCAGTGTAACGCTGCAGCTGCATTGCCCCCAGAGTCGGGGCATTTTGAAGACGGCTCACTTGCCATCACCTGGCGGTGACAAGGCCCTCTGATTTCCACCCGTGTCTAGATGGCTTCCCAGTTACGACTCTTTGATCCCCAGCTGAGAGAGAAGCCAGAAGAGGAGTCCTTGACCGCACCTGCCTGGCTGGTTCACCTGCAGCAGGTGGAGCGGCAGATCAAGGTACAGCCTTGGCTCCGAGTGGCACGGAGGCGTTTGGCAAGGTGGTTTCTGTCCCTGTCATTTTCACACTGACAGTACCTAAAGACAGCAAAACTATAGATGTGTGCCTACTAGAGCTCCCTAATTCCCCAGAAAAGGCGTGGCGTGCCTCCTATTGTCCTGAGGTGGGGACGCAGCAGTGCGGTGGTGGCGGGTGGGCAGGCGGGCGGGTGTCTGCTGCAGTGCCATAGGCTACTTCCACAGGTGGGCCTTGTTCTCCCTCAGGAGGGGGCCATGGTGTGGCCTCAGGACGGAGCCTTCCCACAGCAGTGTCCCGGCACGCCAAGCTCCGAGGTGGAGCCGTTGGAGGGGCCAGGAGTCAGTCAGCCAGTGGCCCTGGGGATCGCCAACCCACTGCTGGCGGTGCCCACGCCGAGCCCTGAGCACTCGAGCCCAAGCGTGCGGCTGCTGCCCTCAGGTGAGCCCAAGCTTTCTGCTGGCTGTGGCCTGTGCTCTTGTTTCCTGAAGAACTGCTTTCAGATATGGACTGTTGAGGCAGCATCTCGCAGCACCACGGTGCTCCTCGGTCTCCTCCCATCTTTCCTTCGTGCTTTCTTCCCCGCTGAGGCCATGGAGACTCATGGCTTTCCATGTCCGTAAATGCTCATGAGCTGGCAGTACTGCCCTGAGCACCCACTGCCTGCTCAGCCTTCCCGCTTGCCTCTTGGGAGTCTCAGCCACACTGTGCTGCCCTCGGCTGTGTCCTCTGCAGCCTGCTTCTCCCAGTTGGCCCCATCGGAGGAAGGGTCAGCCCAGTGCTCCTAGGAGTCAAGTCCAAATGGCCTCATGTGCTTCTCGGCTTCCTCAGTGAACCTTGCGAATGCCCGGATGAGCCCGGCTCCTTCCTGCTCACTGCCTACTTCTGCCCCAGACCCTCCAGGGTCTCCCTGTCTCCTGTAGACAAGCCAGGGTCCTCATGATGGCCACAGGCCCTCCAGGATCGGCCTTAAGCCCTCCTGCCCTGGTGCCATATCCACTCCCATGCTGGGCACCAGCCACACCCCTGATGTGGGCCCACGGCCTTGCTGCCCACCCTCCTGCCTGACATCCACCCCACTTCGTCCTCATACGCCATTACCACTCCCTGGTTGATTGCACTCCTTAGCACTTTCTCTTCTCACTCAGTTTATCTGTCCCCATCCCCATGGGGACCCAGCATTTTTGTTCTTGACGCATCAGGGGCCTAGCGTAGTACTGACAGGCAGCAGCCCTCCCTGGTTTTATGTCGAGTTAGAGGAATGAATGAATGAATGAATGAGTGGCCTGTTTGACCCCTGGCCATGGAGGAGAGGACTCAAATGGAGCATAGCTTTGTGCCAGGCGGCCACTGTGGGCTTACATCTAGGCAGGCTGTGCCCTGGAGCCGGCGTGGTGCTCAGTGACTACGCAGGTGTTCATCCTGCCCCACTCCTGGAAAACGAAGTGAATGTTCCACTTTTTTCCAAACCACTGATGGTTCAGATGGGACAGTGGCTTCAGGGCCTTTGGCTTTACTGGATCTCCCTTATAAAAGCAATGTGGCTGTGCAGACTAACCTGTCCTAAACGTGTCTAGCATCAGCTCCTTCCAGTGACCTCCTCTTCTCCACTGTTCCCATGCAGCTCCGCAGATGCTCCCTGACGGCCCATTGGCCAGTCCTGCCAGTGTGCCAATGTTCCCAGTGCCACCGCCCCCAGGGCCCCTGGAGCCGGGTCCTGGCTGTGTGACCACAGGGTCTGCACTTGGCTTCCCAGATTCCTCCAGGCCTGATCCTGCAACTCTGGGCCTGGGGCCTGGCCTGCCGCCTGGCGTGCCACCTCTTCAGGAAAGGAGACAGCTGCTTCAGGAAGCCAGGAGCCCAGACCCAGGTGGGGCTGCGGAGACGCTGTCTTGCGAGCAGAAGCAGTGTTGGGCGTGGGGTTTGGTGGAAGAGATGGAATTTATTTGACCTTGAAACAAGCTACTTAACTTGTCTTAACGTAGACCAAAATCCTGGCAGTTAGTAGTCTGGATGGCTTAGGAGTCTCGCCGTGATAGCAGGTTAGCAGTAGCTTCTTTTGTGAGTCGGCTTTTTATGATGTGAGGCTTAAATGGCTGTTCAGGGCAGGGCACGGTGCCTGTGGCTGTCCCAGGATCTGTCTTCAGACGGTCCTTCTGAACGCCTGGTGACACGCACGGGGCAGGTTATGAACTTCTGTCTGGAAGTCAGTTTGGTGGATCTTGTCCCTGGTATGTGTCTATATGGACGAAGCAAAACATAAGCCTGACTTTAAAGAATAAAAGAGTTGGCTGGACACAGTGACTCACGCCTTTAATCTCAGCACTTGGGAGGCCAAGGCAGGGGGATCACCTGAGGTCAGGAGTTTGAGACCATCCTGGCCAACATGGTGAAACCTTGTCTCTCCTGAAAATACAAAAATTAGCTGGGAGTGGTGGTGCGTGCCTGTAGTCCCATTACTCAGGGGGCTGAGGCCGGAGAATGGCTTGAACCTAGGAGGTGGAGGTTGTAGTCAGCTGAGATCGAGCTGCTGCACTCTAGCCTGGTGACAGAGCAAGGCTCCGTCTCAAAAAAAAAAAAAAAAAAGTCACGCTGGCGTGGTGGCAGCTGGGTGGGAAGGCGGTGCGCCTCCTGGTCTGCGCCGCACACACGTCCTGCCTCCTTGCGTTCCGCTCCGGCAGCACGGAGGTCTCAGTCGCTGTCTTTCCCGTTGACAGGGACGGTGCTGCAGGAGGCGCCTGTTGGAAACTCACTCTCGGAGCTAAGCGAAGAAAATTTTGCTGGAAAATTTGCTAATCGGGTACTTCGTCACATTTTCTTCAACTATTTGTTTTCCATAAAGTTCATCTAGTGGGCACCCAGACTCCTTGTTGAGGTGTAGGTAGGGTGATGGTGGTGAGGACTGTGAAATTGCTTCTTAAAGTGAAAGTGCTTCTAAGTAGCTTTCATCCTCCAAATATAAAGAGTTGGCGAAAACACTGGTAGGGAAAGATGAGGAAGAGATCATTCGGTAGCGTAGAAACAGTTACTTTAGGAGAAACTCCGAAATATCATCAAATCCCCTTATTAATTTTAATTCTTCTAAAATGGGCACCTTCCCGGATTTATACATCTCTTTCTCTTTTTTTTTTTTTGAGACACAGTCTGGCTCTGTCACCCAGCTGCCTGGAGTGCAGTGGTGTAATCTCGGCTCACTCCAAACTCTGCCTCCCGGGTTCGAACAATTCTCCTGCCTTCAGCTCCCGAGGAGCTGGGACTACAGGCCTGTGCCAGCACGCCCGGCTAATGTTTGTATTTTTAGTAGAGACGGGGGTTTCACCATGTTGGTCAGGCTAGTCTTGAACTCCTGATCTCATGATCCACCCACCCTGGCCTCCCAAAGTGCTGGGATTACAGGCGTGAGCCACTGTGCCTGGCCATCTGTTTTTCTACAGAATCTCTAGTTTTTTTCTCACAAGAGGATGTCCTGGAATACAAAAGAATTTTTAACATTTTCACTGGTTTTCCTGAAAGTGAGATTTGTCTGATCAGACATATTTGGTATAAATACCTCCTCTATTTGCTCTGCTCCTAGCCTGGAGGGATGGTTGCTTTTATACAGACTGCATTCTGGAACCTTCCTTACAGATACTCAGCTCTTCATGGGCCTCCCATCAGTAGGCGATTACTGTAGTTTGAACTTGAATTAGGTCTTTTACCCTTTACAACATTATGTTCCCAGAAAAGCAAAAATGAGGGTTGAACTATTAAAAACTGGGAATGGAACCAGGAATAAATATTTGTAAAAATCACTGTATCTTTGAGACGCCTGCCGCCCGCCCTGGCCAGTCTTACCCTCAGTGAGTGCTCACGCTCCCCTTCTTCCAGCCGCTGATCTCCAGTGAACGCCCGCGTTCAGAGGTGCCCCCAGGGTGGGATCATGCTGACTCGGGTCCCACGCAGCCACCTCTGTCTCTCTCACCCACTCCCGAAACGAAGAGACCCGAACCAGCCGCCAAGAAGGAGACGAAGGACGCTAAGAAGGTAGAACAGCGCCGCGTGCACCTGCGGCCGGGAGGGTCTGGGCAGGGGGCTCGCTTCCCAGCGCACCGCCCTCATTCAACTGCAAGCTTCACCTTCTGAATCAAACAGCTGAGTTCGTGAAGGGCGCATGGCATGTTGGGTGTCTGTGTATTGGTGCCCTCAGATAGCTGCCCACCCACGTCAGCATGGGGACACGGCCTGGCTCCCAGAGGTCCCCTCTAGGCATTGCCTTTCAGTCACACCTGTAAGGGGCTAGACGGCAACCACTCCTTTGTCACTGTGGTGCGTGCCTGTCACAGGCTCCCGGATCCTTTCTCCTAGTTGTGGGCGTTGGGACTGCTTTCCATGTGGGGCTGGAACCCATCAGGCCTAGGAACCTTCCTGCCTGTCTCCTGGGGAATGTGCATGTTTTTCTGAGGCACATGCCGGGGAGTGGAGGGCTGAGGTCGCAGGATGAGCCTGTGTTCAGCTTTAGGAGACGCTGCTGAGCAGTTGTCCTACATGGCTGGACCAAGTCACATGTCCTGCAGCAGAGGACACGGGCCCCAGACGTCCCTCGTCTTCACCAGCACTGGGCAGTGGCAGGCCCTTCACAGCTGTTGGGCTGGGTTGATGACATCTCATTGTGTCTCACTCTGCCTCTCCCCAGCGAGGTACGACGCTAGCACCTTCTCTGCCTGTTCCATCTCACTGCGCTTTTGAGACAATGCTTGTTCAAGTCTCTGTCCGTTTTGGTTTCCATAAAGATGGGGTCTCACTATGTTGCCCAGGCTGATCTCTAACTCCCGGGCCCCAGTGATGCTCCTCTGCCTTGTAGCTGGGACTGCAGGTGCAGCCACCACACCTGCTTTCCTCTCTTTTTTTTTTTTTTGAGACAGAGTCCTGCTCTATTGCCCAGGCTGGAATACAGTGGCACAATCTCAGCTCACTGCAACCTCTGCCTCCCAGGTTCAAACCATTCTCTTGCTTCAGCCTCCTGAGTAGCTAGGACTACAGGCGTGTATGTACCACCATGCCCAGCTAATTTTTTTTTTTTTTTGTATTTTTTTTGTATTTTTAATAGAGACGGGGTTTCACTATGTTAGTCAGGATGGTCTCAGTCTCCTGACCTCATGATTCACCCACCACAGCTTCCCAAAGTGCTGGGATTACAGGTGTGAGCCACCGCACCCAGCCTCTTCATCTTTAATGGAGTTCTCTTAGTGACCTGCAGAGGTCCTTTCTGTATTGTGGATGTAGACACAGTCATCGTGATAGCATCTGCTGATCTCTAGATTGTCTTTTTATTTGTAACGGTATCTTTGTTTTTTTTTTTTTTTTTCTTTTTTTGAGGCTGTGTCTCGCTCTGTCACTCAGGCTGGAGTGCAATGGCATGATCTTGGCTCACTTCAACCTCCACCTCCTGGGTTCAGGCAGTTCTCCCGCCTCAGCCTCCTGAGTAGCTGGGATTACAGGCACCTACCAACACTCCCGGCTAATTTTTGTGTTTTTAGTAGAGACGGGGTTTCACCATGTTGGCCAGGCTGGTCTCAAACTGCTGACCTCAAGTGATCTGCTCACCTTGGGTCCTCCCAGAGTGCTGGGATTACAGGTGTGAGCCACTGTCCCCAGCCTAGTAATGGTATCTTATGAAGAATGTCGTTCTTTGTTTTAATAGAGTTTAGTGATCAGGTTTTTCTTTGGTGGCTGCTGTCTTGAAAATAAACACACATTTAATTCCAAGTGTGTGTGAGCTCTGAGATACAACAGGATACTTGAGCAGGTTTCCAGCGCACAGGCTGTCAGGCCTCCCTGGGATGGCTTGTCTGGCCAGTAGAAGTCGCAGAGAACAGAACTGAGAGAGTGGAGTAGCTACTGAGGCTTCTCCTCTTTCTCTAGTAGAAATGAAGTGATCACGTGAAGAATAAAGTAAATTTTCCTAATAACCTAATTCCCTGCGCCTGGGAAACACTGGGGCTGTGTGTGCCTCAGACACACACTGACTTGCACAGCCTGCCTTCCACTTCTCAAGGGGGCGGGTGTCGGAAGCATTGTCAGTGTTGCGAGAAGCTCCTGAAGGCACGTTATTGTTCTGATCTATTTAAATTATGGTAAAATACACATAGCATAAATGCAGCATTTGAAGCATTTCTGAGCGCACACTTCTGTGCACTGAGCACCACACTGAGTGGAACCATCACCATCTCCAGAGCTTTCTTATCTTCCCAAACAGAAACTGTCCCCACAAAACAACTCTCTGTTCCCCCCACCTCCATCTACCCAGTATCTCTGTGGGCTGGCGATGCTGGGGCCTTGCAGCAGTGGGTCCTGGAGGGTTGCTGTGTCTGCATCTGGCTTGTTTCATGGAACATAATGTTTTCAAGGTTGCTGTGGTGGTTTTTATATTTAGAGTGAATCCTGGTTCTCTCGTTGGCTACCTGGGAAGAGAAGGACAGAAGCTTATTTGCCAGATGACAAGAACAAATCGGTGAGTGCTGTCAAGTACGGCCCAGTGGACGTCCAAGGAATTGTTATGATTTTTCTCTCACTTTCTGAGCAGACCTGAGTGGTGTTTCCTGAAGTTTTGAAGTGTCATTGTGACTCAGATTCTAACTCTGTTTAGCTTCAGTCCACTGACCTTTTTTATTTTTAAAATCTTGCAGATTGTTTGGGATGAAAAGAAAAACCAGTGGGTGAATTTAAATGAGCCAGAAGAGGAGGTAAATGGTTACTGTGGTCACTGCTGGGTGTGAGTTGTGAGTGAGGGAACAGCCTCTTGTGCCCCTGTGGTGTTTGGGCGGCTGGTGCCCCTGGAGGAGCGTCCTGGCTGTGCCGTCCAGTGGGTTTCTGGTGCACACAGTGGGTGTCTGAGGCTGTCTTTCCCTCTGCAGAAGAAGGCTCTTCCCCCACCTCCAACCTCGTTTCCCAAGACTGTACCAGCTGCCCCGCCTGGCCTCGCAGGGCCTCCTGGAGGGCCCGTGAACATGTTCTCTAGAAGAGCAGGTAAGGGTGGCCTTGGAGTGCGCGCTTGCTTGAACGATGAACTGTCCCAGAGAGAGGCTGACGTGTAGCTGTTGTGCGTGGGATGAGGTGATGGGTGTCACACTGTGGAAGCTGACGCTGGTGTCACGAGGAGGCATCCTTGGGGACCAGCGCAGCTCTCCAGAGCGTTGACAAGCTGTGGGCACAGCCATGTCCCATCCATCAGAAGCACAGGACCTGTGGCACAGTGGGATGAGAGAGGGAACCACCTAAGGGCCAAAAGCTGAAACAAATCCGCTGTGTAGAAAGGTGTCCTCAGGGTTGGGCCACAGGTGGCTTCTGGGACATCTCTGCCTGCTTTTTCTCTGACACAGCGAGTGCGGAGCGTTTGGACGCTGGAGGCCACCTGGCTGGTGCGCTCACCCGAGTTTGCTTCCTTCCCCTTTGCAGCTGGAACCAGAGCTCGCTACGTTGACGTCCTGAACCCCAGCGGGGCCCAGCGGAGCGAGCCGGCTCTTGCTCCTGCGGACTTTGTCGCTCCGCTTGCACCACTCCCGATTCCCTCTAACTTGTTCGTGCCAAGTGCAGGTAGGCAGCACGGACACAGCCCCTTTGGGTCAGCGCCCCAGTCTCCTGACCTTTGGTCCTCTTTCTATGAGTTTCTCCCAGATTTCCTGTTAGAAGAATGACCTGGCCAGCGTGCAGACAGCCTGGGTTGGTCTGTGGTTTTTTATGGTTTGCCTGTTCCTGCACGAGTGTGCGCTGTGAAACTCTCTTTCTCTCGGGGTGTCTTCAGTGAGACCCCAGGGATGTTCTGGACGGAATGATGGCTTCCTTACTCCTCATTCCCAGATGCAGAAGAACCACAGCTTCCAGACGGGGCTGGCAGGGAAGGACCAGCACCAGCTAGGGGCCTGGCCAACCCAGAGCCTGCCCCGGAGTCCAAGGTGAGCGGGGCTGTGGACTGGGGGAGGCACCTGGTGAGAGGCACCTCTTGTCCTGCCGGACAGGGCCTTGCCTTCTGCAAGTCAGCACCCAGTGTGTGCGCAGAGAATGCGCCGTCTTAAATGCTTCACACTTGTGTGTGATAGAGACGGAGGTAGAAGGGTGGGTGCCAGGCAGAGCAGAGCTGTCGGAGAGACGGAGACCGGGGGTGCTGGCACTGATGACCGCTCAGCACTGTGAATGTGCTTAAAACTCAAAAATGCTTCAAGTGGCAAATTTTATGGCATGTGTACTTGACAATTTTTTTTTTAATTGGAAAAAATAAAATTAATTAATTTTAAGTTAAAAAGAAATTACCTACCCATAATAAAGCAAAGTATATCTTCATCTAAAAAAACAAATGACTCACATGTGAAGTGGAACAGCTCAGGCCAGTGGGGCGCAGTGGCTCACACCTGTAATCCCAGCACTTTGTGAGGCCGAGGCGGGCGGGTCACTTGAGGTCAGGAGTTTACCGAGACCAGCCTGGCCCACCTGATGAAACCCCGTCTCTACTAAAAAATAACAACATTTAGCCCGGTTTGGTGGCAGGTACCTGTAGTCCCAGCTACTTGGGAGGCTGAGGCCGAATCACTTGGACCAGGAGGCAGAGGTTGCGCTGCACCACTGCACTCCAGCCTGGGCTACAGCGAGACTCCATCTCAAAGAAACAAAAGGAACAGCTCCGACTGCAGTCTCTGAGGTTGGGCAGGCCTGCGTCTAGCGCTGTTCCGTTCATCAGTTGTGTAAAGCCTGAGCAGGCAGCCACTCACCTCTCTAAGCCTCAGTTTCCCCTCTGTAAAATGGGAGTAACAGCACCAGATTGCAAGGCTGTCATGGGGCCTTGCGACCTGTGTAGGCACCCACAGGCCTTGGTAGAGAGCTGCTGGGGTCTAGAGCCAACAGACGAGTGTGGCAGGGACCCCACGGGGGACACGCTCACTCTTCTCACCGTGGAGCACGTGGCGTCCAAGAGGCATTTGTAACCCAGGCCAGGACAGTGGTGTCTTTTTTCGGCCTGGTGTGAGAATTCCCTGGGATTTGGTTGCTGCGATTCTTCTTTTTCTCAGCAGGTTTTAAGTTCTGCAGCATCACTCCCTGGCTCTGAGTTCCCCTCCTCCAGGCCCGAGGGGTCCCAGGGAGGAGAGGTAAGGAGTGCCAACGCCCGGCCCCCCGCAGCCCAGGCTTGCCCAGCAGTTCACTGTCCAGGCACCTCTCTTTACAGAGGGTGATATGGGTAGGAAGAGGCCGTTTAGAAACATGACACTTCAAAGGTGGTGTTCCTAGGAAAAAAATTGCACTTGTTTTAACAAAACTTGAGCTCTGGGAAGGGTACAAGGGGTTTGAGCTGCCGCCATCAGTCAGCTTCCTCTCCTCCCAGCTGCACGGAATGGTCTTGAATTACGAGGTGTCAGGAGGTGAAGCTGGCTGAGGCCGAGGCTGGGCTTCTCCTCCCGGCCCTCCCCGAAGCTAACGGTGGCTGGAATATCAGCTTTACGTGAAGACGGGAATCTTAAGCGAACCCTGGCTTTTTTCCCTTTTGAATCATGTTGATTCCAATGGCATCATAAAGCTGTTGAAATGGAACTGACGGCTTGAAGCAGTGACTGCATGTTGACTCTGTCCGTGTCTGTGTGTGTTCTTGCTGTTTTGTAGCTTTCACGCTGTAGTTCAATGAGTTCATTATCACGTGAAGTGAGCCAGCACTTTAATCAGGTACCTGCGGCTGGTGGTCCTCACTAACAGAGCTCACATGTGCCGCCTGTGTCCCTGAGCACGCGGTGCTGGTTTGCGGCATGCGCTTTGCCACTAACCTCGCCTGTTGTCCCCTCAGCATCAAGTGACCAGGAGTGCAGTGTTCTGATTTTTTGAGACAGATTTTTGCTTTCTGCCCAGGCTGGAGTGCGGTGGCACAATGTCGGCTCACCGCAACGTCCGCCTCCCGGGTTCAAGCAATTTTCCTGCCTCAGCCGCCCGAGTAGCTGGGATTACAGGCATGTGCCACCATGCCTGGCTACTTGTGTATTTTTAGTAGAGATGGGGTTTCTCCATGTTGGTCAGGCTGGTCTCGAACTCCCAACCTCAGGTGATCTGCCCACCTCAGCCTCCCAAAGTGCTGGGATTATAGCAGTGTTCCTTTAAATGGCCTTAAAGAGGGGTTGCTGTTCAGTATCCACATGCACCAGGCGACTGGACTGAGCCCGAGTGTCCTAGTGAACAAGCGGGTTCTGTCATTTTTCTCCTGAATTGGTTTTTCCAATGATGGGCCGGGGGTGTGACCTCGATCTGGGAGCGTTTGTTGGATCAGTGTGCTCTCCTTTGGAAGGAAGGTTTCTCCTTTCTGATCAAGACCGAGAAGGTTGGTTTGAGGCTGGGGCGAGTGCTGCAGTCACTGCCCTGCAGCCAGTGTGGGAGGGAGGCGAAGGAGCGCTTGCGAGGCTGCCTGTCACAGCACCAGCTGCGACCCTTCCACCTGCGCAGGAGAGCCCTGTCACGGCTGGAGCCTGAGGTCTGCAGCGCCCGCACCTCCTAACCGCCGCGCCCGCTCAGCGCGCGCCTTCCCGCTGCATGCCGCAGTGCTTCAGACATTGGCTCCGCACGTTGCTTTATGTTCACCATTTTTCCATGAACCGTTAAGTAACTAAATTCAGTGTTGCAAGAAGTATCTCTGACTTGCTTCTGTAGCTTCTTTAAAAGTCCCATAAATCCTACGTAGAGGTGGCATCTGTATCTGCAGTTGAAATGCCAGCTGCTGTGCAGCCCTACTGAGGCGACTCTCTGTGCTTCTCAGGCTCCTGGTGACCTCCCTGCTGCAGGGGGCCCTCCCGGCGGGGCCGTGCCCTTCTACAACCCTGCTCAGCTGGCACAGGTGAGTGCCCTTGCCTTTCCCCACAAGACCCTGACAAGGCCCTGCTGCTCAGTGAACGGCACCTTTCTTCCCTGGAGTCTCTTTTCTTCTTCGAGGCAGAGTCACTCTGTCACCCAAGCTGGAGGGCAGTGTCGCGATCACGGCTCACTGCATCCTCCACCTCCCGGTTCAAGAGATTCTCCTGCCTCAGCCTCCTGAGTAGCTGGGACTGCAGACAGTCGCCACCACAGCCTACTGAGTTTTGTATTTTTAGTACAGATGGGGTTTCACCATGTTGGCGAGGATGGTCTCAATCTCCTGACCTTGTGATCTGCCCACCTCAGCCTCCCAGAGTTCTGGGATTGCAGGCGTGAGCCACCATGCCAAGCCTGTATGATTTTTATTTCTTTTTCCTAGTAGTTTCTTGACAAAACGTCCTGGGGTGACTTGGGAGAAGCCTTTCATGTCTGAAGCCACCCCTGGCCCCTCTGGCGGGTTGGTCGGCGGGTAGAATTCTTGGGCCCATGTTGTTTTCTTCAGAACTGTAGGTGCTCATAGGTTTCCTGGTGCCCACAGCTGATGAGACCCCAGGGCCGTTCTGCCTGCACCCCTTTCAGGGTCCTGTCCCCTGGGACTAGCAGGCTTCCCCACCCTCAGCCCCCTTCAGATGGAGAGTACTCGGAATGTTTCCTGTGGTTTCCCTCCCTCAGCCTCGTCTCTCCCCCTCCCTTGCCTGTGGAGTTAGACTGGAGGCCAGTGTGGGGAACTGAGTGGGGACCGAGGCCGGGGCGTCTTGGGATTCAGCCCCATTGTCACCCCAGCCCACCCTCTGGACCTCACACGCTCTTGACCACAGGCTTCCTGGGCTGGGGCCCGGAGATCTTGTCCTGGTCCTTTATGACGAGGCCCCTCCAGCTGCTGCTGGCCGTCGCCTGCTTCTGGGCGTCCAGAGCAGTCGATTTTGGGATTGTCCTGCTCCCTGTCGTCTAGTTTGTGCCTTTACAAAAATTCCTTGGCTTTCCCCTGAGTGAGGCTCTGTGAGGGAGCAAGAGCGGATGCCTGCATTGGCCGGCCGAATGCTCCTGGGGTCCCCACCTCCCCTGCAGCAGGCCAGGCCTGGCCACTGCCCCTCCCTGCACTCTGGACAGCCATTCTGGCTCTGCAGAGCAGCTCCAGGTTCCACGCCCCTGACAGAACTGCGGCACCTCCTGGCTGCCCTCACAGCAAACACCAGTGGTTAAGGATTCAGTGCTTTCAAGGCAGCCCAGGGCTTGGCACTGACACGTTTGGTCCCAGAGGCTTTTAGAAACAAACGCTTGTCGGGGTCAGTGGCCCACGTGGTGCATTCTGTAGACCAGCACCCTGCCCCACTACGCCGAGCGCTGCCTGCCCTGGGAGCAGGATTCAGAGGTGGGTGCTATGGGTCTCGTTGCAGGCCTGCGGCGCCTCTGGGAGCTCAAGGCTAGGACGGATCGGCCAGAGGAAGCACCTGGTGCTGAACTAGGCTCGCCCCGCTGTGAACTTGCACTTGGAGCCCTGACACTGCTGTTCTCCCCAAGAACCCGACTGACCGCCGTGACCGCTGCCCTGTCCCCAGGGAGACACAGCTGTGATGCCGAGCTGGTGGCACGTTGTGCCTCCCGCTCCCCACCCATCCTAATGAAATATTTTGAAAATTAATTCCACCGTCCTTTCAGGTGCTGTTGAAAGACTGAACCTTTGACTCAGAAGTGTTTGCTGAAAAGAATGACGTGACTTTCTTAGTCATTTCGGGGGATTAAAGGGTGTGGTATTCCTGCTCGTTTAAGAATGCTCCGTTCCTGACGCTGGAGCTGTCTCTGCCACAGGAGAGCCACGCGCTCGCTAGTAACCAGGGCCTGCCTCTCCAAGCTCAGCAGTGAGTCCCGCGCTTCCTTTAAGGCGCCGGGAGCAAAGAGCGACTGGCTGAGGGGGACCCCGAACCCCGCTCTGCACCAGCGGGACCCTCGCCGTGTCTGGACCTGGCTGAATGAGTGGAGGGCGCTGTCAGTCAGCGTCTCGGGGAGCCGCAGGGTTCTTCGAGCATCAGTTCACAGCTTTTGAGAGAGGCCCTAGTTACTGAAGTGCATTTCTTCCCTGCTGCAAAGATGTTTCTAGCCTCACTTTCCTTTCTGTGCCCTGATTAGGACCATGGGTGATTTTGTGCACCCAAAGTGCTGGCCACTGCCCACCCACCAGGTGTGGCCCAGTCACTGGGAAGGAGCCCCAGAGAGCCGACTGTCCGACGTGATGGCTCTGGGTGGCCATCCGGGGTGAAAACGCGACTGTGATGTTTGCTTTGGGCTTCGTTTTGGGTGTAGGAGCTGCTCAGACTCACTGTTAAGGAGGCTGGATGCGGTTCTCTAAACAGCTGCCCTTCCCCCTTCTGTGAGCACTTTCCGTGCTGCAGTCCATGTGACCCACTTTCTCACCCGGGGGGACACTGGCTCGGGGGTCGGTAGCATCTTGGGGACAGCAGCTCTGGAACCTGATATTTCTGCCCCGATGTCGCCACACTGAGACTTAGAGTAGCTCGTGGTGGACGTGGCCCCGTGGAACTCAGAGTTCAACGCGGATGCAAAGCTTTAAGGCTCTCTGACTGTTCTGAAAACTCTTCATGTTGTTATGTCTAAAGAGACAAAAAAAGATTTAAATACGAATAAAAATCAGTAGGTAATTTCTGCGGGTTCTGCTGGGGAACATAAACTGTTTGGTGTTTTAAATTTCAGTGTAGAAATGGTAGAATGTGGAATCAGCACGGGCCCTTCCTGGCTTTCTGTTTCACGTGATCATTTAGCAGAGACCCCAGGATGTTTTCCAGAATGTTTCTCACGGGCGCGTCTGCTGGATCCTTTTGTCCTTGTCACTTGGAGAAAGGCCAGTCCCTGTGACGGGGCAGCCCTCCCTGTCCCTTGGTCAGCTCGTGTGGTTCCAGGGACCTCCTCCGGTCGGCCCTGCCTGCTGTTCTGGGGTCGACTGCCACGACTTTTGATTTAAGAAGCTTCCTCCAGGCGGAAGCAGCTATTTTTCCTAAATGCGAATTGTTACATTGCAAATTGTTGAATAAAATATTTTGCGCTCCTTCAAGCACCTTCACCTGTGGTTCCCTTTGGTTTGCTAGAGGCGAGTGAGTGCAGGTGTCCGCGGGCCTGGCCCTCGCTGGGACCTGCTCGGCTGTCCGGCTGCAGGTTGCTGGGGGCGGGGGGGGGGGGGGGGGGGGGAACGCTGTCTGGGCCCCGCGCGGCGCGGTCCTCCGGCCGCCAGGGGCCGCTGTGGACGGCGCGCGGGGCGGGGACCGGGCGCAGGGGCGGGGCCGGGGACCGGGCGCGGGCCCGCGGCGGTCGTTGCTAGGGTCCGGCCGGGCTGACTCCGCCTCTGCGCGTCCGGGCCTCCGCGGGCGCGGGTACGGGTCGGCTTAGGAGTCTGCGGGTCCGGCCGGCGTGCCCGGGTCCCGCCCCTCCTCCCGAGCGGCGTCCCGGTCGCGGCCGAGCCTCCCCAGCGACAGGCGCCCACCCCCGCCCGTCCCCCCAGGCCCTGCCTGCGGCCCGCCCTGGGATCGGCGTCGGGGAGCCCCGAGGGGCCGCGGTACCCGGGGCCCGGGCCATGCGGCAGCCCCCCCCGCCGCTCCGCGACCGCTCCCGGCCCGAGCGGGGGCCGCTGCGGCGTTTCTGCTCCGCGCTGCGCCGCCGACCCCGGACCCGGCAGCCGTGACCCCTCCCGGGAGGGCCCGACCATGCCGTCCAAGGCGGCGAGCCTGCGGCCCCCGGAGCCGGCCCCGCAGCCGCCGGGAGGGAGGACGCTCCAGGGACCGCTTCCCGGCGCCGACGGAGCGCTGGCCCCGCGCGAGGGGTCCCCACCCGACGCTCCGGGCCCCGAGAGCCCCGCGCTCGGCGGCGAGGAACCCCCGGCCCAGGCAGCACCCATCGCCCCGCGGCCCCCCGCCAGGCCTCGGCTGGAGCGAGCCCTGTCCCTGGACGACAGAGGCTGGAGGAGGCGGCGATTTCGAGGCAGCCAGGAGGACCTAGAAGCCCGGAATGGGACCAGCCCCTCCAGGGGCTCCGTGCGGAGCGAGGGCCCCGGCGCCCCCGCCCACAGCTGCTCCCCGCCCTGCCTGAGCGCGTCCCTGCAGGAGATCCCCAAGTCCCGCAGGGTCCCGGGCAGCGAGAGCGGGAGCCCGTCATCGGGGAGTGACCCCCTCTCCGGGGTGGCCGCTAGCGCCCCGAACCTCCTGCACAGAGACGCCACCGTGGCGGGGAGCTCGCCCAGGCTGGCCAGCCTGCTGCCCCCGCGCCCCCTGCCTGCCCTGGGCCTGGACATCGCCTCCGACTCCCTGAGGACGGCAAACAAGGTCGACCCGGATCTTGCAGACTACAAGCTCCGCGCGCAGCCCCGCCTGGTGCGGGCCCACAGCAGCCTGGGCCCCGGCCGGCCCCGGAGCCCCCTGGCCTGCGACGACTGCTCCCTGCGCTCGGCCAAATCCTCCTTCAGCCTCCTGGCGCCCATCCGCACCAAGGACGTCCGCAGCAGGTAGGGCCTGGGGCGCAGCGCCTGCGAGGCCTTCGGGGTGGTGTTGAGGAGCAGGCTGCCTGAACCCCGCCAGTGGCTTCCGGCGTGTAAGATGCCCCAACAGAAAAGACGAAGCGCTCTCCCGCAGCCACCCCGTCTCCCAGCCCCTCCCCGCAGCAGCGAGCGCCCTTCCCGGCTGTCCCAAACTTCCCAGAACTTTTTGTGCGTTTCAGAACCATTCCTGGGCGTGATGTCGTGTTGAGGTAGACAAGATGGCACCCTGCATACAGTTATGGATCTGGCTCTTTTTCTTTAGTCTTGGGAATTTTTTTTTTGAGACGGAGTCTCGCTCTGTCACCCAGGCTGGAGTGCACTGACCCAACCTCGGCTCACTGCAGCCTCCGCCTCCCGGGTTCAAGCGATTCTCCTGCCTCAGCCCCCGAGTAGCTGGGATCACAGGCTTGCACCACCATGCCTAATTTTTGTATTTTTAGTAGAGACGGGGTTTCACCATGATGGCCAGGCTGGTCTTGAACTCTTGACCTCGTGATCCACCCACCTCGGCCTCCCACAGTGCTGGGATGACAGGCGTGACGGCTGCACCGGCCCTGCCGAGGCGTGGGAGTGTTGTCAGTGCGTGTGATCTGCCCTCTTGATGGTTTTTGTTTGTTTCCTGCTGTGCGCCCAGGCTGGAGTGCAGTGGCGTGACCCTGGCTCACTGCAGCCTCCACCTCCTGGGTGCAAGGGAGTGATTCTGTCTTGAAGCAATTCTCCTGCCTCAGCCCTGCGAGTATCCGGGATTACAGGCGCCTGCCACCACACCCGGCTAAATTTTGTATTTGTAGTAGAGACGGGATTTCGCCATGTTGGCCAGGCTGGTCTCGAACTCCCGGCCTTGGCCTCCCAAAGTGCTGGGATTACAAGTGTGGGCCCCTGCGCCCAGCCCGCCCCCTTTGTTTTTTCTGCTGCAAGAGTCCCAAGACGTACTGAGGCGTACTTTCCATCAGCCAAGGCTTGCTCACGGGGAACATTTTGGTGGGCTCCAGCTGGAAGGAACTGCAGCTGAACCCATGACCTCTCCCCAGCCTGGTCTTGTTTTGGGGTCTCAGCCTGGGGGCCTCTCCCGAGATGCTCCCACTCTGGCCTGGCAGAAGCTCCGGCACCTTCGTTTCCTCCCCTCCCTGCTTCATGCTGCCCACATCCTGTCTGTCTCCTGCGGTGGGAGGCAGGGCAGGTGTGCGAAGGGGGAGGTGAGAGCTGGTTTCTGCTTTGGTGTCCGGGGCCCACAGTAACCCCTGACCACGGACTGGGAGGCTTGGGACAGCAGAGCTGGACTGTCTCCCAGTTCTAGAGGCCAGAAGTCTAAAATCTAAGGTGCGGCCAGGGCAGCCTCTCTCCAGAGGCTCGGGGAGGGTCCTCCCTATCTCCCCCTGCTCCCGGGGCCCGGTTGCCCTTGGCTTGTGGCCGCACGCCGCAGTCTGTGCCTCCGTCTTTACGTGGCCTCGTTCCCATCTCTCTGTGTTCCCGTCTCTTTTTATAAGGACACGAATCGTTGAATTTACTGCCCACCCTAAATCCAGGGTGATCTCAAGATCCTTAATTAAGTACATCTGCAAAGACTCCTTTCCAAATAAGGTCCCACTCCGAGGTTCTGCGGGTCGAGGTGGACGTGGCTTTAGAGATCACTGTCCGGCTCACCGCGGTCCCCGAAAGTAGCCTTACCTCCCTGCACCTGGGGTCCACCGGCAGGCAGGCAGCTCAGCTCTGGCTCCCCCACCACACCCCTCCTGCCCATGGATGGAGCAGGTGTGATCACATACAGTGCAAAACTGTTTCTTTTGTTAATTCACTGTAGGGCTCCTAGGAAAGAGTGAGATTTCTTAGCGTATCACATTTTAAAATTATGTTCAGTTCACGTAGATACACCTGTTACAGCACGTGAGAGGCATGTTTCAGATTTGGATCCTGAAGTCATTTTTTCAACCAGGAAACATGGTTTGATGTGGATCCTTTAACCCAGTTCTGCTGCCTGAAAACGTCCATTTCCAGACTGCTCTAGAAAGGTCCGTTCTAGGATAGGGGTTGGCACACTCTGTCAAGGGCAGGGGCACAGACAGTAGGGACAAAGGGGCATCTGTGTGCTAGTGAACCTGTTGGGACACACATTTGAACCTCATGTTTTCATGGGTCCAGAAATGCTCTTCCTACTTTCTCTGCCGTTCCACACAATAGAAGCCATTCTGAACTCGTGGACCGCACATGCATGGGCTGGGTCTGCCCCGTTCCAGAATGGCTGCTGGGGCGGGGCGGGGGCGCTTCCCCCACAATTCCTCTTCCTCCGAGAGCCGGCCCAGGGTGTCGACGCTGGGCCGAGCAGCCTCATGCAGAAGTCCTGGCCCTGGACGGGGGTTGGAGGCAGCCCTGCCCCTGCCCGCATCTGGACGTGGGACACAGTGAGGGCCACCCCCGGCCTGCTGTTCACTAACCACACTCTGGATGGAGCTGGGCAGACCAACCACGCGGCTGCTGGTGTGGCCACGGCGGGCCTGTGCCGTGGGCTTCGAGTCTGGTGACTGAGGAGCTCCTGCTGGGCCCAGGGTCACTTCACAGCAGTGGCCACAGGCACGCCCTCTGTCCCAAATGACCACTGTGTGAACGCAGCTGTCCCGTCCGGGAGTGTCAGCAGTTTCTGGGGTGAGGTAGGGAGGTTCCTCCCTGCTGATGTGATTTGATCGTGTCCGACGAAGCTTGGTGAGCTGCGCCCCAGGGTTGGAGAAGTTCTCACGGGAAGTAACAAGAATCGGTGCTGGCATCCCCTGTCAGCTGTGACTTGGGAAACACCTGCGTCATTTTATCTCCTGCAAAGGAATATTAGTTTCCGTCTGCAGGACGAAGGTGTAAGATTGATTCTCTTAGCAAGTTAAGTTGAAAAGTGAGGCCGAGGCGGGTGGATCACCTGAGGTCAGGAGTTCAAGACCAGCCTGGCCAACTTAGCAAAACCCCATCTCTAATAAATATACAAAAATTAGCTGGGTGTGGTGGCTGGTGCCTGTAATCCCAGCTACTCAGGGAGCTGAGGCAGGAGAATCGCTTGAATCTGGAAGGCGGACATTGCAGTGAGCCGAGATCGCGCCACGCCACCGGACTCCGGCCCGGCCACCACCCTCACATGCCTCTTCCCGGGAGGTGGTGAGGGGGTGTGAACCCGCCTGGGTGTTTGTGCAGCCGGGTTGGGCCTTGTCCTGGAGAGCAGACAGCAGTGCTATGGGGCCCAGGAAAGTCCTTGTTCAGGGCTGGGGCAGCTCCTGACATTCCATGCGTTTTGCTGTTGTCCCTGGGGACCTGGCCGAGCCCAGGGGTGTGTTCTGTGCCTGGCCCCAAGCTTGGTTTCCTCCCATCACAGGAGCTACCTGGAGGGCAGCCTCCTGGCCAGCGGGGCCCTCTTGGGGGCAGAGGAGCTGGCCCGATACTTCCCAGACCGGAACGTGGCACTCTTTGTGGCCACCTGGAACATGCAGGGCCAGAAGGTGAGCCGGGCAGGGTGGGGCGGCCTGAGCGGGGTGGCGCCTGGCGGGGTGGGGTGGCGCCTGGCGGGGTGGGGTGGCGCCGGGTGGGAATGGGGAGGCGCGGGGCGCTGTCAGATGTGAGGGAGGGAGACCTGGTAGCTCTGTGCCTCGTCCTGGGGCCAGGAGGGCAGAGGCCCGAGGTGCACCCCACTGCCGACTGGCACAGGAGGGTGAGAGCGGGTGAGGACCCCCATCCCTCAGAGCTCCCGCCGGCACCTCCCTGGTCACGTGGCTGCAGATAGGAGGGGGGAGGGTGGGGCGCTAGGCCTGGCCGAGAATCGTCTGCTCACGGAGAGCGGGAGGGTGGGCAGCACAGACCAGGGTCACAGGGATGGGGGGTCAGATGGGTGGTCATTGGACAGACTTGTGTTTGGAGAGGGAAACTGAGGCTGAGGGCCAACCTGAGCTGTGTTTGGCGTGTTGGAGGCTGCCTCGGAGACCGACCAGGCAGATCCCTTCTTGGCCTTGGCCTCAGTTACCCCTCATTCTGAAGCGTCGCCGAGACTTGAGGTGCTGCAGTGGGATTGGCAGGTTTCGGGAGGAGCCGGCCGGCCCATGGCATGGTCCCTCCTTCCAGGAGCTCCCGCCCAGCCTGGACGAGTTCCTGCTCCCGGCCGAGGCCGACTACGCCCAGGACCTGTACGCCATCGGGGTCCAGGAGGGCTGCTCTGACAGGTAGGGAGGCCGCTGTCCCTGCAGCTGCTGGCGCTGAGACCTGGGTCACGGCCACACACGGGCACTCTCCAAGCCTGGCCAGAACGTGCGAGCCAGTTTTTTTCGTTTTATTGCTGGTGAACAAATTGTTGGCTGAAGGAAGCAGGGCAGCAGGGAGCGGGGCCGGGCTCCGAGGCCTCCTGGGGCTGCGCATCCACGCGGACGCTCTGCAGGAGGAGCCCAGGCCGAGTTGAGGTGGCTTCACCCCTCTGGCCCATGAGTCACACAGCGGGAGGGTCTGCTCACTGAGTCTCAGCAGGGACCCGGGGGGCCACTCTAGTGGAACTGGGGCCTGTGGCCCCCGACTCTGGCCCACCAGGCCCTTTGGCAAATGAGTCTCAGTGTAAGACGTCGAGGCCGGGTCATGGCGTTTCCCTGGTAGCTCCTGGAGGGGGCTGTGGGCGGCAGGTCCGGGGTGGCGGAGCTGGCTGTGCCCCAGCCCGCCGCGCGTGCTCGTCCACAGGCGGGAGTGGGAGACTCGCCTGCAGGAGACGCTGGGCCCGCACTATGTGCTGCTGGCGTCCGCCGCCCACGGCGTGCTCTACATGGCGCTGTTCATCCGTCGGGACCTCATCTGGTTCTGCTCAGGTGGGCACGGCTGGAGGGTGGCAGCCCCTCTCCATGGCGGACGGGGCCTTGGCGGGAGAGTCACACTTTGCATCTGGGATCTGGGGGCTGCTGCGTCACACAGGGGCTCCACAGTGAGCCCCGACTGGCGCGCGGGTCTGGCAGCGTCGCAGGCAAGCTGAGGGCTGCCCTCCCACAGAGGTGGAGTCCTCCACGGTCACCACACGCATCGTGTCCCAGATCAAGACCAAGGGGGCCTTGGGCGTCAGCTTCACCTTTTTCGGCACCTCCTTCCTCTTCATCACGTCCCACTTCACCTGTGAGTTGCTGGGTGCCCACCCCACGTGCTGTGGGAGAAGAGCCTGACCGGGACCCCGTCCGCGGCAGGGGTCCTGGCTGCTGGCTTCGTCTTCCATCCAGGGCCTGGGGCGGGCACTGTGCTTGCGAAGGCCCATGCCGAGGACCCCACAGCCGACCCTGACGTGAGGCCTGTGCCGTGCTGAGCCCAGAGCTCTGTCCTCTAAGGTGGAAGCGTCGCTGGCCGGGCCTGGCAGCAGGTGCCCAGTGGGCCTGGGCCTGCAGACAGCGGGCGGTCAGGCACGGTCCAGAGGTGTGGTTCTGGAGGGAGATTCGAGCATCCGGAGCCCTGTGGCCCCCACCCCATTTCTGCTTCCACAGCTGGCGACGGGAAGGTGGCGGAGCGGCTGCTGGACTACACCAGGACCGTGCAAGCCCTGGCCCTGCCCAGAAACGTGCCAGACACCAACCCCTACCGCTCCAGCGCAGGTGAGGGTGCACGCCGTGGGTGGGTGGCGCTGCCGTGGTCCATGTGGGCTCCCGTCGTTTTTAGGGGAGCAGAGGAGCATCCTGAGCTTTGGGAATCAAGGGACCGAAAGTCCAGTGGCCCAAAAGTCCAGCATGGGCCCTCACAGTTCCTTCTATTTTTTTTTTTTTTTTTTTGAGACGGAGTTTCACTCATGTTACCCAGGCTGGAGTGCAATGGCACAATCTCGGCTCACCGCAACCTCTGCCTCCTGGGTTCAGGCAATTCTCCTGCCTCAGCCTCCTGAGTAGCTGGGATTACAGGCACGCGCCACCATGCCCAGCTAATGTTTTGTATTTTTAGTAGAGACGGGGTTTCACCATGTTGGCCAGGATGGTCTCGATCTCTTGACCTCGTGATCCACCCGCCTCGGCCTCCCAAAGTGCTGGGATTACAGGCGTGAGCCACCGCACCTGGCCCCCTCACAGTTCTTTAGCCCAGTTAGGTGTGTGGTGGGGGCGGGGGTGACTGCCGCCCACTCAGAGCATGGCCGGCTAGCCTGGGCCCTGGTCCTCCACTGCCCACCCCGCTGCCACCACTGGCTGTGCGGCGAGGAGCAGAGACGTGGCCACCACCTGCTGTGGGCGCTGCCTGCTCTTGGAGCTGCCCCAGGTGCCTTCTGGAGCTTTCCCAACTCGAATCCCACCCCAGAGGGCCCAGCCCCGCCGGCTGACGCCTGAGGCCGCCAAGACCCCCTCCCCCCAGGAGCCCCTGCCAGCCACGTTCTGGGGAAGGGAAGGGCCTGCCGGCGCTCTGCCTGTGCCCACGCGTGGCCCACTGTGCCGCAGCGGACGTCACCACCCGCTTCGACCAGGTGTTCTGGTTCGGAGACTTCAACTTCCGCCTGAGCGGTGGGCGCGCAGCCGTGGATGCCCTCCTGGGCCAGGGCCTGGCAGTGGATGTACCGGCACTGCTGGAGCACGACCAGCTCATCCGGGAGATGAGGAGAGGTGAGGGCTGCGGGGCGGCTGCGGCGGGAGGTGAGGAGGGGTGAGGCCTGCGGG